GTCTAGGGGGGGGGGAAATTTGACAATTTAGGGGTTTCAAATGCTTACCGTATTTAATCGATTTTAGTATGTACAAAATACATATATTTTTTTTTTCTCCTCGAAAAAAAAGTGATTTTCTCCCCAACGAAGGCCCTTGTTATAATAGTAACAATAATAATGATGTTAAAAATGATGGTGGTGATGAAGACGATGGTGATGATGGCATTGTTTATGATGATGTTTAATCCTATTAACAATAATAACATATTCTTTCATTTGTTTAAAAAGCATGATTAGCGCTTTCCGGAATGCAGCACATGATTATCTATCATTACAAACGTTGCCTATTGAAATGTATTGCTTTATTTTAGCAAACAAGCTCGAATCAACTCTCTTATTAAAGAGCTAGAGATTGAAGTATACCAGCCACCAGATGCAGGCCAAAATATCATGGAAATAGACGGAAGAATCCAACGATATGAAAACTCGTGCTGGCCTTTACCTTTCTTTTCAAACGACAACAAGATAATGATGTTGATGGCTGTGATGATGGTGATGCTGATGATGGTGAAGCTGATAATGTATATAATGATGTAAATGACGACGACGACGACGACGATGATGATGATAATGATGATGATGATGATGATGATGATGGTGAAGATGACAATGATGATTATATTTATAACGATGTGATAATAGTAACAATAATAATGATGTTAAAAATGATGGTGGTGATGAAGATGATGGTGATGATGGCATTGTTTATGATGATGTTTAATCCTATTAACAATAATAACATATTCTTTCATTTGTTTAAAAAGCATGATTAGCGCTTTCCGGAATGCAGCACATGATTATCTATCATTACAAACGTTGCCTATTGAAATGTATTGCTTTATTTTAGCAAACAAGCTCGAATCAACTCTCTTATTAAAGAGCTAGAGATTGAAGTATACCAGCCACCAGATGCAGGCCAAAATATCATGGAAATAGACGGAAGAATCCAACGATATGAAAACTCGTGCTGGCCTTTACCTTTCTTTTCAAAATTTGATATCAGCAGTTTCATTTCTAAGGTACCGTAAAACGATAATATGGTTTTTATAACACCTTTTTTCAGTCGATGATCATATATCTTTAAACTAATCAGTTGCCATTTGCCTACTGACAGTGATCATTTGTTACAAACATAATTGTATCCTTCCCTTTCGGTAACGCATAAAATGTTGACCCAACAAATTGATGTTCATATCAAATCTACTTCATTATCTTATTAATATTGATTATTTTGTCAGTGAAATACATAAATAATAAATTTATTATTGTATGTTGGCGTTTTATCCGGGTATTGGGCCTACTGCGTTATTAGAATTCCAAGCAATATTTTGAGTCTTTCTTTCTTTATATTCCAAGAGAATTAGAATTTCATAATTTTACAATAATAATTATAATAATAATCATAATAATAGTATATTAGTATAGTAATTATAATAATAAGAGTTACTATTATTATAATAGTAATAATAATAAATATTCAAAATAATAGATATTATTATTCGTTGTGATTATTTACTGTTGCTTTAAGCTTGTACATTGTCGCCTGACTTCTCCATGATATACGATACATCAAGTTCGATCAGTTAGTAAATCAATAACCACATACAATTTTTATAATATTTTACTAGATACATATAATTAAGTATTGACTCATTGCATAATACATTTCGATGTTAATGTCGTGTAATGGATTTACTAAGTATACATGAACGTAATAATCGCCGTAGGCCCTGTGTGTTGGTGATCAATCGCCTAATAATTGGAAGTCTTGTGACACGGTCTAGTGGATTTTATGCAGGTAGTACTTGTCTAGTTTTGCTATATTCAAAGGTTACGCAACAATACACGATAATAGTACTACCATAGTAATGGTTTAAAATATATTTATTTCACAGATATGCACAGGTCAATAGGTAAAGCCTGGTTTCCATAAAATCGCTACACATTCGCTAACAGCGTTTTCACTGCAACCTTTGCACGGCATATCTGTACCCGACGCAATCGTGAACGCTCCCTGATTCAACTGACCAATCAACGTCGCAAAGAAGTCGGCGATAGCGTGTAGCAATTTAATGGAAACCAGGCTTTAAGAACAGACACTTTTGAATACAGGAGAGGAATAAAATTATGTATGTTATGTACTATATAACATGCCCAAGTCCCACCAACCAAAGGCAAATTATTATTTCAAATGTTAAGTAATAATGATATTCATTTACGAAAACAATACATTTAAATAGCAAAAACCTATTCGGCACGTAACTTCAAAAAATACCGTTTCAGGAACGAATATGAGATTGCCTTCAACCGGGAGTCCTCCATCAATGAATTTCTCTTACGTTGATTACTCAGGTCTAGTTTAAATGAATTAAATTAAATTAAATTAATTAGTACATGGCTACTAAAATATTTATTTACTCGTATATTTTTACATGCGTTAAACTTTCTTTTGACCTGTCTCTGTCTGATTCCAACTGAATTATTGTTTACAGAGTAGGCCTAGATGACTTTTTTGTTATGTTAATACATAATGAATGAACTAATGGTGATTTTAAAATTACGTTTTCAGGTAGAGAACATGCGTAATGTAGTTCCTATTGATGATCCTACAAAATGCCAGCATGCGTGGGATTGGGATAAAATCACATTTGAACAGTTTCGAGCAGACGAGCTTTATACAGACGGTAAGAAAATTTTAACTTAACGTAAGCGAACATAAGGCCTATACTGTTTGAAGAAAGCCCAGCATTGGTTCTTAGGCAATTATGTTGAAAGAAATTGTAATTATTATCGTCGTCTTCGTTGTTTTCGTCATTGCCTCATTACATCACCGACATCGTCACCGTCATCATATAATTAGAGCATATTATTTACGTTCGTTTTTATACCATAATCAGCATGATAACAAATAAACAAACAAAAACCGAGAAGGCAAAATACTATAATGATCTGCCCACTGAATGTGAAAAAAAACATTAGTTTTAATGATGACGTTACTATTGTTCTTTAGCTGCTATCAATGCCGTTGACACATTGGTAATGCTTGAGTTTGGTGTGACGTCACGAGAAATATCTCTGTTATATGTTCTGCATTATCTAAACTGCTGTGGAGGTTGGAGTTACCTTTTGTGTGAAAAGGAAGGCCGGGCAAGAGATGTAAAGATAATGGTAAACCTTATAATTATTTGTAATTAATTATCATCATCATCATCATCCTCATTTTCATCATCATCCTCATTATCATCACTGCTGTCCGACTCCTGTTGATGAACACTAACCATGGAACTTTCAGAATTATAGTGTGCGTTCAAAATCTATATTGTTCTCTCATACTTGTTTTCAACAATAGTTAATAACCGTAATAAATATTAACATAAATATAATAAAGAAAATAAAACATTAATTACTATTATTGTTAATTATTACCAAAACAAATGTATTGATTTTTTTTTTTAAATTTATAACGTTACTAATTATAGGGTGGTTCTCAAACACTGTGTGAAGTGTTGGCAAATAAAATAAAGAGACGAAAAATAAGATTGCGAGAACAGGTAGTTGAAATAGATCAAAGAGATAAAGAACAGACACTTGTGACTACAAAGACAGGGGAGGAATACACCGCAAAGAAAGTCGTCGTCGCAACGTCGGCGCGCGAAGCTGGTAAGAAAATGGTCTTAACATTAATGAGGCTATGTAGTCAACATTGCCTGTCTGTTTATTTGTTAGCAAAATTATGTAAAAAATAATGCATATAGATCATTATAAAATTGGTAGTGGAGTGGTACATATGGGCCTAAGGAATATGTGATTAGTGTACATTTTGGAATGAAAATTTTGAAGAAAAATAATGGTCAAACGTGATTGAAATTGTTTAAATCACATTATAAATATTATGGACAAACTACTGAATGCTCATAAAACTAAGAAAGAATTTACTAAATTTTGGGGTAAAAAGACCAAAGCTCCAGGTCATGGAAAAACAATTTTTTTTTTAAATTTTAAATATTATCGGTATTTAGAGTCTAGTTATCGTAATGACCCGCTCTAATTGTGTTTTTATTATCTACACCACGTTTATTATCAAGATTATGCAAAAATAATGAATAGGCCTAGATCATAAAATGTAATGGGGCGGTAGAAAATGCTCGAAGGAAGAGGTAATTAAATATTGAGGTAAAACGTTCAATGGCTGAGATCAAGGTCACGTAATGTCGAAAGGTCGTCTGCTGGACGAGTGCCCGAAAAAAAACCTTCTTGTACATTTTTTTTTTATTGGCCTAAGTTCTTCTACTCTTGTTACATTTAGATACTCTATATAGTTTTATACACCCATTGAACGTATTAGCTTAATATATATTATACTGTAATACTGCTCGTAAGGAAGATAACCTCTTTAATGAGATGATAATATAGCAATTCAAATGTTAAGTTTATACTTCTGCCATTATGTTTCTAACGTCACTACGCTTTGCATCACCATTTCGTTTTTACGTCATAAATCTCATCACTCAATTTTTCTAACTCAATGGATCACGCTCTGCTCATAACATTTAGGACTACATGCCTAGGACTAATTCCGAGTTCATGACTAACCGTCATTTAATTTATAAATTATCTCAGATAAAATAGAATTTCTACCAACCCTTCCACCGATGAAAATCAGCCTATTACAGCGGATGCCAACCGGTACAATGTACAAAGCTGTGGTGACGTATGCAGAGGTAAGATATTAAATGATACAATTTGGGGTGGTTTTTGGCAGCCGTCGTGCTATTTTGTGTACCGTTATTAATGGCTGATTTTTTACATAAACATAGTTCTTTGATTTAGTTATTTATGTTTTTTTTTATCAGCCATTCTGGACGAAGAAGGGGTTCAGTGGTCAAATTATTAGGATAATAAACACTGAGCAAGCACACAAGAAGAAACCCAACGACTATGTTCACGCCGTTTATGACGCAACAACGTGGAACAAAAACCCGGCACTGGAAGTGTATTATACAGGACTCTTGAGGCCTGAAGTGTTGGTAAGTTCGCAATTACGTGGTCATTATATTTAGATGCATCATCATCATTATATAATAATCATCATCAGCAGCATTATTATGGCCACCACTACAATTGATATCAATACCACCACCATCGTCGTCATAAACATGCTTAATAGTACCATCATCACCATTGGGAAAATTTAAAAAAACTGTTCAAAAAGTAAAGCCGATTCGAGATTGTTAGGATTGGTCGGTCAGGTTTCATAACATAATTTCTTGGCCTATTATCAGTATTTCGTTATGATTATTTGATTATTATTACTGCCATTTTAATATTATCATACTGGTGTATGATAAATGTTAATTTAAATTAAATTATATTGCCTCATTTTTTACCTTTGACTCCAACCTGCATGTTTTTGCTCTGTTTATTTTATAAATATTATACTGTACCGGTACTTCATATTATATAGGTGGGATGTCGACTGCATACCAAATAATTATATGATATTTACCTGTTCAAATATTACACATCAGTGTGAAAACCTAATTTGAACAAAAAATATGTAACAAGCTGTTTTAAAAACCAGCTCTTCATATATACATATGTATATCCATATACAGACCATGTTATGCCATTATGATCAATGTATAATTATCATTGTTTTGCTTCGTATTTGCTTCTTCTGCAATACTTGAGAGATATTTTAGATAACGTTCTATTACATTTTGATTGATTTGTAAAGTTCAGATTTGTCATAATATCGACAGTCATTTCATCGTAGTGCTCGCAGACCTAGTCTTCGTAAATACTATAACGTGTTGTTTAATTTTGCACTTTTTTAGCCTGAAGATCGCCAAGAATCCATACTAAATTCTTTGAAGAATTTATACAATTGTGTAGAGGCACTTGAACCCTTGGATTTCATCGAAGTTGTAAGTTTATCGAGATTATCTCAAAAGCCTTGATTATTCACAACGATCGCATCTAACGCCATTCATTATTCATCCACGATAAATAAATGATATAAATTTACATGTAACATGTAAATACTTGACAGTAACGTTGTGTTGCTTTTGGGAAATCCGGCCAGTCAACCATACCCTTTTTTGTTGTTTTACTGGTGAAATAAATGATAATATGATAGGTTATATAACTATACATTTAGTTCACCCCGGATTTGTAGGAGTAATTGTATTCAACTGTAATTTCCGAAAGGACAAACAATACGTCACTGCAATGGACCTACAAGCATATGGCCTACTTTTACATTACCGTACTAGAAATTGTATCATAAAATTATGCTTAAGATAATGCATATCGAGTTAGCAACAGAGACATAGAATGCTCAATGTATATAGCAGCTTAAAGTTGGTAAAAAGGCATAATAAAATGCTGTGTCTGTATTATTGTCGTCTTACGTATGTGGTCCTACGGTATATCTGTTTCAATACGATAATAATGTAGATAGGTTTGACCTACATAATTACCTGTTCCTTCTATATTATTTAGCTTTTTTGATCGCATTTATTTATCAATGCGTAGGCATGTTTCCATATATTTACTGTATTTAAAAAAATGTGTATCAAATGAAATTATTACCAATCATAGTTGAAGCGTTCTGTTAGCTTTCAGCATCATCATTTCAAAATGTATTTAGAATTATAACATGTATCGAGCAACTTCATAAAAAATAATGAATGCTTGAATAACAATAGGCCATACATAATATTCCCGTCATTGCATTTAAGTAATGATATGTGCAATGGCTGTAGCGTAGTGGCTTGTTAGTGTTACAAGAAGCAGGATTTGTTTCTCTCGATTATAGTAGGCCTATCCGAAAAACTCAATTTCTCAAGCTTATCATTAAGCATGTAGCACACATTGATTGGCGATAGTGGTGACTATATCGCGCCACACACAGCGAGTGGCGGTAGTCACTCGCTGTTAAATGAGATACAATTTTTAAAAAAATAATAAATATGAACACGTGATTCAAAATCTCTATAGGATTGGTCCGATGAACCATTTTGTTCAGGTTATCCAACTTCAATCCTAATGCCAGGAGGTTTGACGTATTACTACGAAGCGTTACTGGATCCTTTACATAGGTAGGTCTCTTATTTTAAGATACGCCAAATGACAGCACATTTCATAACGCGACAATCTTCTACACTTTAAATATGTCGAAGACTTCACACAGAAGAATGACCACAACACATCACCCAAAGTCAACGGAACTAGAGCCTGGGTGTGTGGCGCATGCATAAAAGAACATGGCGCATTTAGAAGTGGGCAGTGTGAAAAGATGGGACAGACAAACTTAATTTGGTCTAGCATGTTGTAGAATGTGGGTGCGGAACATCGGAGTTTATTAGGTGTGGTATGGGGAGGTGGAATTTAATGAAGAGGGTTGTGTGTAATTTGCACAACCATTTCAATTTGTTGTAGGATCATGACACAGGTTGGGGACAGTAGTCATGATTGTTGTTATAGACTACGTATTAACACACTTTAAAAGTAGGCGTACAATTTGTGACAGAACATGTAGTCTGATAGCTGAGCAAATGGAATACACTTGGAAAATCTTTGAACAATTTTCAAATCAGGAATTGTGTAAGAATAACTCAGTTTAAAATACGAACCAACGTTTATTTTCATTAACTCTTATTTTGGCCTGTTATTTACAATGTTTAGTTGCATAAATTTGATAGGAAAGCTTTAGTAGGCCCTACGGTATATTAAACAATTTCCACGCCCCCACTACGTACGGCACTAAGTCGCGCCTAAAACGAGAGACAGGTCGTTTTTGTGTATTCCATCGAATATCTATACATAGGCCTACCTAACACGAGATCCGCGTTCCAAAAGTTGTTTTCCGATTGCTTCGCACATTCTCGCCAGAGCGTCTTCCGCGAACATTGCGTAATAATGCTGATTAAAAAGAGGTACCAATGCTGCGCGCGTGGCACGTTGTTCTAGTTGAGGTTTGTGGCTAAACGTCTAAAAAATGTAATAAACAGCGGAATTATGCATAGCACGTGTCATTACCGGTTATTAATAGATAAAATGAGGAACTAGAGAATATTGGTTAACTAATCAATTAATAAATTTCAGGATTCATTGGGCTGGATCAGCATTAGCCACTACCTGGAAAGGTCATATGGAAGGGTCGGTAGAATCTGGATGTAGAGCGGCTGTAGAGGTTCTCTCAAGTTTGCACGGAAAAGCAAATGGAAAAACAACTGTTGCAAATGGAGGTTCTTCCTAAGGATGATGTATCTCCGGGCTACTGCTTCTCAGTTAAAGATTAGTTTCCATAAAATATCTACACGCTATAGCCGACAACTTTTGGCGACGCTGATTGGTCGGTTGAATTGGAGAGCCTTCTCGATTGCGTCGGAGAGAGCTACAAGAAGTGTGACGATTGCAATGAAAACACTGTAGAAACAGTGCAACTATTGTATAGAAACGAGACATAACACTGGTCAGTTTCGAATATTCACTTCCTAATACCAGTATATAATTTGATGGGATTTTTAACGAGGTGTTTTTAAATTTCTTAGGAAATCAAACATAGGACTGACTATCAATTACACAAAGGAAATGGGAGATGAAGTTAGTTATTAAGACACCACAATACTGCAGGCCCCACATTTCTTGATTGCTTGATAGGTATTTCTAATATACACAAATAAACAGCAATTTGTAAAGAATCTCATAATATTAATCTCCGAATGAAATTCAAAACTATGATGGGTTAATTTCGATTTTAAAAAATACAAGAATTATAGATTAGATTTATAATAATATTGTAACAATTGCATTTTATCTTTTGGGAATTTTGTAATCTTCGTATCTAGGCAAATATCATGAAAGTAGAGCCCAATGCTGGTGAACATGGATGTATTAAATAATCGAAGTCGCCGCCTTGGTTTAATTTCATGTATAGTGAACGTTGGCACGCGTTTTACTATGCCTACAGAGAAGCCTATGTGATAGTTTGAAAAGATCACAAATTTCAACTACGAACAAAATATGCCTATATGCATGTGTTCGCCTCACAATTAAGGGCCGCTTTATCATGTTGGCTATGGATTATGATAACGTTCAGTAGACAATTATGATATAGACAGTTAAGATAAATAAATCAATTGTAACAATAAACAGTGAGAATGAATTAGTAATAATATTGGGAAATGATTGACGAATAGGTCAATGACAGAACAAAAAGAACATTCACTCTTCGACTAAAATTCGATGTAGAACCAAGTTAAAGTTATGTCACGAGGCTTCTGTGTGATATCCTGTGTAACTAAGTGATAACTAAAGCAACGTATATTATACAATATATATACTGTCTCTTATACACATCTAGATGTGTATAAGAGACAGCAGCTTCTCTCACTTAGAAACAAGTTTATTCCACTATGTACATAAAATTAGTATTAGACTTGTTGAAATTATTGGCAAGGGACAATTTGCAATATTTCCATTTAACATACTACATTCTTCCATTTAATATTTGAGATTAAAACTTGGTGATATTTAAAGTAAACCAGTAGTAAATTACAGGTTACCGGTATAACATTAGCCAAAAAACAGTCCAGTAAATAGTTTACATTCCTATTGAATTTTGCTGGTGTCACAAAAATTGGTGACAGTAGGTACTTAGATCTTAGAGGAACGTTTGCGTCACTTAATAATGTAAATTAGCTCTCTAAAATAGATTATGGACACTATTTTTGTACTTCGGTGTTGTCATGGAATCCTATGTAATATAATTCTTTGTAAGTTATATATGTTATTTATTTGTTTTAATATTAGATTATATTTTTGAAATTTTGATTGAACTTAATGAAAGCTGATGAAAATGAATGATAGATAAATAGATATATGATTATATTATTAATGATGATAATACCAATAATAGAAGTACTGTAATAATAATATAGTTCTGTAGTGGTAGTCTTCCTTTAATTAAATGTTCTCTATTATTTGGTTAATTTCATGTATTATGTAATACAATACATTGATAAATAAATGTCTAAATCGGCACTTCTCGAGTTTATGTTTCAGTCAATGGCGTGTTAGGCATTCACAAGCTTCGCTTTCCAATTCGAACCCCCCCCCCCTTCCCTAATTCGAGACCACAGTACCAACTAACAATACTCAATCTTTTCACACAAACCTAACAATCTAATTGGAAACTGAACCCCGAGAACACCTCACACTTTTCAGGTCCTAAAGACGGTCTCGAATTGGAGGGCGAACTGTAACATAGCAATCTAATGTATGATTGCTTCTATTTATTATGCGTTCACCATACTGAAGTATGTACTGATATACTTGAAATATAATATAAAATTAAATATTGAATTATTTGGTATATCTAACCATGATTAATAGATTTGATTTCAATTGAAACACTTGAACAAAACAATTGTCTTGCAAACGGACACTGGGAAATCAGGGGCGGATCCAGAGATGTCCAAAAGGGGGGCCGAAAGGGGGCCCGAAATTTGGGCCGATCGAGACAACAATGACCTAGGGGGTCCGGGGGCATGCCCCCGCGAAATTTTTGTGTTCTAGACGCCTGAAAATAACATTTGAGGCGTTGTGGGCTATCATTTTTTTCTTTTTCTTTCTTTTTTTTACCTCCCAAAAGGGGGGGCCGGGGCCGGGCCGGCCCCCCTAAATCCGCCCCTGGAAATCAGGGTCGGAAAGCAGTATTTTGTTTTACTATGTTTGGTCTAATTCTAGGCTTTATTGCTATCAATCGCCCTATACATTGTGGCTAAAAATGGTACCCACATGATTTATATCCATGGTTAAGATATCAAATATATTAAAATTCAAAATTGCATTTTGGATACCACCTCGGTTAAAAATAATTTTTGAGCCAAAAAATATCAATTCATTTCAGGTCTTTTTTTTTTTTTTTTACAAAAATGACATAAAGCAATTACAAACTGGCAACCATATATAATTGTTTAACAATTGATAATTTAAACATTTAAAAAAAAAAAGAAATTGAAAAACGTATATATTTTTTACATGGTTTTAAAATTCAGAATTCTACAATCTACGACAAAAGTTGTTATTAAGCAAAACTAACAATGGAATAAAACCATCAAGTTACAAATCAATTTCAAAGACCGTTCGTGTGATCGATAATCAAAATCTTCAATGGAGTGAAGAAAATTGAGCTAAATGGAATCGTGGGGGTGTAGGTCTGGAGTCGGTGAGTCACAAATTGCAAAAAAAAAAATGTATTACTTACAAATGTTTTAACACAAGAATTAAATATCATATCTAACCCATTCCTAATGTCCATTGAATAAAAACATAGGAATAACTCCTGACCAAAGTTTACAAAAATATCGTTCAATTTTAATGTACTAGACTTTTAAAGGGTGCTGTCATTTTCATGAGCTATGGCAATTTTAAAAAATAAATTCCATAATTGAATTCTCTAATTTGTATATTAAGTTTTTAACATTCGATTAAAAATCTGAACGAAAAAAAGTAAACCTTTTTTTGTATTCTTTTGGCTGGTGACGTAATGATTTTGTAACAAGACCGACTTATCATGAAGTCAGGAAAATTAATTTGAAAAATGCATATTGAGTTGGTTATATTACAATCAGAATTATTAACATTTCCAGTTCATTATCATTATATCAAAAATTCAATTTAAATATTGATTAAGTCGTTTTAAAAGGACCAAATATGTTTTGAGGTTTTCCTGGATTATTTTTGACAAACCACAAAGTCTTTAATCGGTCGTGAGAACCAGAAACAGCTGTAGGCCTATTTTTATAATTTTTAACATTGATTTCAACCGAATATATTGGAACAGGTGAATTTTCTTTATTAAAATCAATATTGAAGATAATCATGTTGATATAGTGATAATGAACTGAAATGTTTATAATTCTGCCTATTATATAACCAACTCAATATACAGATTCCTATTCAGTTTTCATATTAATTTTCCTGAATGCATATAAGTCAATCATTGATTTTTTACATTTCCCTACGATGGTAAATCAAGTAATTGTTTGAATTCAAGAACATTCCTTAACAAAACAGACTTTCTTTTTTTTGAAGGCCATATAGATCCAATACTTCGTTTTTTTTATTAGAACACAATATATTTTAATGAACAACGAAATATTAAATAAATATTGCAGTCTAATTGGAGTTTGCATATATTATCTTAATATAATCAATGGACCACATGGGTTTGCATAGCCATTTTGCTATGTCTGGAATCCCGAATGCGATATTGGATTGCTAGAGAAATGCTAGCTTATTTTTGCAAATCGGATGATTGATATCGGCCTACTTAAAAGTTCTGCTGTCAATATAAGGCACTCTGAAAACATGGTAAATTGGTTTGGACTGCACTGAGAAATTCAGCACCCCTGCATATAAACGTATACAAAATCACAATATGTATAGAATTTACTTTAGGCCTGGGTGATATATTTAAATTTAACGGCTATCTTCACATATATTATATGCTACTGTTTATTTCAAGCCGTACCTCCAAATTTATATGGTTTAACGCCCTCTTGAGGTGCACCATTCTGTAATAAAATGTACACGACGCTTATTTGAATCTGTTCAACCATAAAGCCTCTGTAGTGTAATGGTCATGACGCTTGCCTTGACAGCGACTCTTGGCCTCCCTTGGCCTTCGGCTGTCTCTTATACACATCTAGATGTGTATAAGAGACAGTGATTACACTCTATAATTTCCTATTATAGTATTACCATTATCATCATATATTAGGTGTAACATATTTTCAGCAAGACATCATCATCTAAAACAACTGAAGACAGTCAACATTCAACAGATAGCTTTATTTATTCAAGGAGCATTATTCATTCAATTAGTACACAGTACGACATTACACTTAAACCATTTTGTAATTTATAGTCTATTACAAAATGGACTATTACAAAATGGACCATTCCGGATTGTCAAGCTTAACAACTCGTCGCTCACATCATGAACTAACACAATCAAAGTAGATTGTGTTAGTTCGTGAAATCACAGTAGCGTGTCAAAACGAGTGCGTATTGGTTGTCAAGCAATTTTGTATTCTTTACCACACAAAAAGTCCTTAACGACAGCAGCGCGTATTTTGACGCGCTTTTTTGATTTCACGAACTAACACAATTGAATTTAATTGTGTTAGTTTGTGATGTGAGCGACGAACTGACGAACGAATCCGAACATTGCTAAGAACACATGCTTGTCTCACAAACACACGTGCTTATGTACGTTTACGCTATCTTTTTGTGGGACCTTAGCAACAATATCCAAGGGGCGGGGCTTAGCAAAAAGGTTCATTATCAAATTCAGTCAAAGCTACTGCTTGATTTAAATAACAAAAACAAACGTATGAATAATGTTGTTATATGGAAGAACGAAAATAGCAACCTTCCTTTGCACCTTTCTGAAAAATACTGTACTGTAAATATCCTATCAACATAATCATATCCAAACCCCATTCGCATCTACACGTTTGAATACCAACCCCCTAAATTTAACACCATGTGTCGTTTTACGAATAGACAATTTTCTCTCTTGACATATATGTTAATAAATTAAGTTACAATACAAAATATATAATAATTATACAAAGTACTTTGATTTATAAAATTTGTTTTATCACGTATCATTGACATCATTATCACCATCAATCCCATCTTCATTCATCATCCTTACCATCATTAACAACGTCGTTCAGTCAACTAAAGTGTGTGCACGCTGAGCTGTGGATGCTTATCGAATCTTTGGTCCCTAATTAAAATCCACTGTTGGTAATCTTATGTTTCAGCTGGCGGTCAATAGTGCACTATTGGTCTATTGTACAATATAGCTCATGGGTACGTTAAAGAATGCAGCAAACTCAGAAAAAAAAAACAGAAGTCCCTCCAAATTCACCACCAGTGGAAAAGATCCCACTGGAAAAAATTCTTTAGGCTTCCATGAACCTTGGTGTGTTTCTCACCAAAGAGATACAAACAATCATCATCCTCACCATTATCATCATCAACACCATCATCAGGTAGGAGCATCTCTAATGCCAACACCATGTGAGAAGCTTCTCCAGCCACCAGTTATACTAACAGACATATCTTGCTTCCAGTGTCCTCCTCTTGTCTCTACTGGTTGAGCTGGTGGCTGAGGAACTAACTTAGAACCTGTGTAACGAAGACTTTTTCTGTCATGGAAAATTTTCTTGACATTGTTAGAAACCTGTAAATGACATGATAAAATATATTATAACGTGGTAAGAAAAGCCATTAATCTTTAGCATTATGTTAGTCATTAGTAACACCATGACCTGGGATTTATGTCACATTCTTTTTATTGTTTTTAATAAAGAGTGATTCAATATGATAAGTTTTAGAAATCAGAATGTAAACATTACAGTGTCTTCATATCCTGATATACTATTAAGTACATATGCGTAATTACCATCACAACAGTTCTTACGTTTTAATCAGTAATTAAAACTGACCAATTTTGCATGCCCTTAGAAATGTAGCAATATTATCTAATTTAAATACAGATTACAGCATAAGATTTTAAAAAACCCCTTATTATTGGCTGCCTAGGATGACTGACGTTAATGATTGTGGTTTCCTCTCTTCATTATAAATACATAAGTGGAGTTGAATAGCTTGGTGGTTAAGATGTTTGCCTTCCAATTCCAAGAGTGCAGCTTAGCTCAGTCGGCTAATCTGGTGGTAGCCACTGTGTGTGCGCTGAACTGTGGAGATCTCTAGGTCCCTGGTTCAATTCCCATCGTTGCCTCTCCTTGTGTTTCAGCTAGAGGACTGAAATACAAGTTCATAGCGCACCGTCTTTCGGATGAGACGTTTAAGCCATTGGTCCTGTGTGCATTTATGGCCCATGTGCACGTTAAAGAACACAGTACACTTTTCGGAAAAGAGTAGGGGATTGTCTACCGGTGTACTGTCCAATCACCCCCAGAAGGACCCCACTGGAAACAAGTCTTCTTCTAGACTTTCGTGGGCTATCCTTGGTGTTTACACCGAATAAATCCAATCCAATCCCAGGGTCCTGGGTTCAATTTCTGTCACAGTTACAAGATTTTTTCTCACGACCAAAAACAACTCCACTTCCTAAGCCTGATAATGAGACTTAGTTTATGTACAGCATACAGTATTGTGTTTATATTTGTCTTAAGAAGGGATATTACTAAGTTCACTCTTGGCCTCCCTTGGCCTTCGGTGGTGTTATAAAACATATGTATATATTCACAAAAAATGAATTTGTAATATGGAAGATCAAAGCATTATGTTGTCGGAAATAGAACGTAATGGAATTATAGTTGGTGGAACACAAACCTCATTACGGTTCATGAATAACACGAAGTACGTAAATAATTAAATTATATACTAATCTATACCAGGGGCAATCTATTTCCCCCATCATTTGCACCAGTATATGTAAGATATATAAGCAAGAAGGGGTGATAACATTCGGTGTAATTTTTAAGGTGGAAAGAAGAGAGACACATTAAAGAAGATTATGCTAACAAAAGAGTATACTAATAAAAAAGTAAATAGGTAAATAGATGAATGGATGGATATATATGACTGACAACAGGTAGATAGGCAGCATACTGTTAATAGATAGCTAGAAAGATGATTATGTTGAAAAATGGATCAGTGGATACATGGTTGGACAAATGATGAATAGGTGGGTGTTTACAGTGACGGATAATTAAAGCACATCAGTCAATAGTGAAATTAGCATAATTTTAACAGGTGTTTCCCATCATAAAAAAAACACAAAAACAACATATTGCATAGCAATTTATTAATATTGATATTACAACAGAAATTTACATCTGAAATAATAAGTGTTTTTTAATAAACATCTTCTCTGCGTCAGCTTACCCTTTTTTTATTTTGAGCTAATTCTCGATTAAATTCAATTTCATCCATGCAGAGCTTCAACACTGGTGGTGTTGTAGGGTAAACTGCATTTTTTTCTGTATTCGAATCTTCATTTGTAGCACTGTTTAAAAAGAAATGGAAAGAATGTGATAATGATATATAAGCATTGTCATCACTGACAATGTTATCAATCCACTGCTATGCAATGGTTTTGGTGATGGCAGTTAAAACATTGATAAGCTATTGTTTCAAACCATGTTAGTTGCGTGACAGCTGTTTTGTTTTATATTGTATTTATCCACACATGCATTATCAGGTCAACAATCAGCTTAAACTAAAAGCTAAAATAATCTATAAGTAAGGAACTACATAAAAAAAAAGTATGTGGATGTTTGTTTTGTTTTTTATTGTATTTATCCACACACACATTATCAGGTCAACAATCAGCTTAAACTAAAAGCTAAAATTATCTATAAGTTAGTAAAGAACTACATAAAAAAGGATGTAGATGGAAACCAAAGTAAACCTGCAACAAAGTTTAAAGCATGGCCACCAGTTAAAATTGGAATGACTTAAAATGTGATAATGAAATTTTGAGATGTTGGTCATTTTGAGCTTACGTATGAATGGCAGGCAACTTGACCGGGGCAGCTGTGATCATAGCGTTATCCAAGGCCTGCTTTGCATTACGAGCTGCCTTGCTTTTGATCACATCCGATATGTTCTTCCCGGGGAACAGACGTGGCAAAAGGGCTAGAATATCCTGATGGTTTGGATCCAGATGCAATGCCACTAGCAAGTCTTGGCGAGATCCTGCTTGATTCTACAAACAAAAAATATTTATAATTTTTGTTGTTATAACAAAATGTTAAACTTTTATAGTGCTGCATTCCAACAAGGCCTCTAAGCACTTATTAAAGTTGTCATTGTCATTTAATGAGTATTTGGTGCAGTGACTGTTGGCCACAGTTTGGTGGTTAAAAACCCCTCACAGAGAATTTTGCTTGTACTCGGCCACGGGACTTTATTAATGTTTTTCTCTCTCTACCCTGAAATATAAAGGTGAACTTGCATATCCTGGGAAGGTAAACAAACTCATAGGAGAAGCAAATTCCACACAACATTGAACAGCCTGGCCCATATGCCCAGAAAAGAGAGATTAACAAGAGTGAGCTCAGAGGTCTGGCCAGGTTTTGACTTTTCCTGTACTATTATTCTTTAATTTTTATTAAACAATAAAGTTAATATTAATATTTCATTATTTTATGATTGTAATAGTAAGACATTTTGCATTACTGTTATTTTTAATAATAATAACAGTAATGCATTGCAAAATGTCTTGCTATTACAATCATAAAATAATGATTGTAATAGTAAGACATTTTGCATTACTGTTATTATTATTATTTAATAATTTTAATAACAACAATAATTCTAACATGATTGTAATAGTTAGACATTTTGCATTACTGTTATTATTATTATTATTATTATTATTATTTAATAATTTTAATAACAACAATAATTCTAACAACTCTAACAACAACAACAACAACAACAACAACAACAACAATTCTAATAATAATAATAATAATAATAATAATAATTTAAGGACCTACCACTTAAAGCTTGCACTGAAATATACTAGTCTATAAACAAGGACTGACTGTCCTTGCTGTAAAGGTCTTTCTGCATATATTTAATTATACCAATGCTACAAAGAGCTAACTATATATTCATTATTACTAGTGTTACCAAGCATTTCAAGTGGACTCTCTGTCACTCACCTCCAGTGTGAATCGGACTTTTGCTCGGTAGACGTAGTAGCTTCCAACCTTTGGGTTGTGTTGCATTGCTAGGGTAAACCTTGCCTCAGCCTCATGGTAGTTCTGCTCCTCGTAATCTAATTGTCCAAACTCAAAGTGCACACGTGCGATTCTTGAGTGCACGTTCCAGTCTAAGTTGTCCAACTCAAGGGCTTGGTGGTAATCTGCAAGGGAGAAGTGTAGCTCACCAAGGCGAAAAAAACAATCTGAAAAAAATATTTATATCAAATAAAAAAGTGATCAAAGAAAGTCCAAGAGAGCATACCAACTTGGTCACTTAAATAAATCAGTTAAATTATTGATAAAATAAAATTTACTGTCAAAATAGGCTTTTGACTGATAATAAGAAAATTAAGATAAACTTAGCTCTTTACCTCCTCTATTGATGTAGAGACCTTTCTCTCTTTTTTCACCTTTTATCGCTTTGTTAAGAAGCATAACAGCCTCATTAAAATGTCCCCTTACAAAACACTCAACAGCAAAGTCATTGTAGGTTAACAGAAGTTGTCGTTGAGCATCCATATAAATTGTGTCCTGCTCATCGTGACCGGATTTATCCATAGCTAGCAGGTAATCATCAATAGAGGCGTTGAAGTCCAGAAGTTTCCGATGAAGTGCTCCCCTGTGAAACATTATTTGAATTGAAAAAATAATTATTAATTCTACATTAATCCCTCTTCAACACTGAGCACTGAATATATGAATGTTTTCTATGCAAAATGTTCATGCATTCCTTTTACTATGAATCCCTCCCCAGTGAGCTGCAAATAGTGTATTGATTATGGTTGTCACTTTTTAAATAAAAATGAGGTAAGGCCCTTTGAGATTTTTAGTGGAATATGCTATATGAAAGAGATAGTAAAAAGAATAATGAAGCACAAGAAGAAATTGAATTGGGATGTGTTATAACTAATGAACAACTACTGTATTTCAAATCACCAACACACCGTCCATAGAAGAATTCTACAAGTTGCAACAGAGAAACTGGATAGAAAATGTTATCAGATGTGGAAACATATATACATATATATACATATATATATATATATATAGATATATATATATAGATATATATATATATATATAGATATATATAGATATATATATATATATATATAAACTGTGAGCTGTCTCTTATACACATCTTACTTTTATCAATTTTGTCACTTAATTTAATAGTTTCCTTTACATCTGTCTCTTATACACATCTAGATGTGTATAAAGCTGATACATTATGGATATATTGCTACTAGTGTAGCACAAATACCAATGCCACTTCTAATACTACTACTACTGCATTTTCCATATGTAACCATCACCTCTACCACACTATAGTTATATAGTCTACCACCACATGATGCACCTTTTAAACACCTACCTTAATATATGGTATTCAGGCACTGTAGGATTGTTTGCGATAGCGCTGGTTATTTTTTGCAGGGCATCCTTGTACCTTCCCTGGAGTTGCTGCTGAATGCAACTGCTACGGTACTCCTCAGCCTTCGCTTCTAGCTGCTTCATCAACGTCCTAGCCTCTTCTTGATATGGGTCCAAGTTGAGGGCATCTTTTAAATCATAGTAACACAGAGTTGTCTGTAAAGAAAAACCAAAAGTATGGTACAATTGCAGAAGTCAATAAAACAAATAAAATTTGTTCTGATTATTGGGCTGTACTGGTAGAATGCCAAAGTGCAATTTATTGTTTATTGTACTGCTGTATGTACAGAGTACATATCTGTTTTAGGTGCACTTTGAAAAACTAATTTATCATTTTCAGTAGAGTAGATGGTTATCCTGGTCCTCTAGTTCACTTCAGCCCCTGTTAAAAAAGGGTGTGTCCACAGTTATAAGCACCTCTCTTCAGCAGTTATGGTTAAAAACCCCTATGCAATTTAACAAAATGGTGCTGCAAATTTCAGTGCCCAATATCACTATCAACGTCATCAAAATAAAGATTATATTCATATAACTATCGTTTTCATCATAATCCCATCCTCACATAAAATATAGCCATCATCATCTTCTACATTATTATCCTCATCATTATCAATTAATAATATCAAATAACACAATTAAATCATAACAAATGTAGCAACATACATTTCTAAACAGCTGATGCAGCCTTGCTCTCATGATGTATAAGTCAGAGTTGTCTTGCTCAACTTCCAATCTCTTGTTTACCAATGCTAAGCATTCACCATGACGCTGAAGGGCTGCCAAACAAGCGACACTACAGTAGATTAAAAAAAAAAAACAACATGACTGTCAACGAGAATAAATATCAACATGACAAAGGTAGCAATGATGATAAACACGTACATAGAACCTTACTTATTATATGATCCTACAAGATATTCACTTACTACTCAGAAACAATGAAGATAAATTACCTGCCTAAAAGATAGTATTGGGTATCAACCCATTTACTTTGGGCTCAGGAATCTAGAATACTTTCATGTATAATGCACCATAATAAGGAACCAAGAATATTTGTAGATCAGATTTAGTTTTGTTTATTTATATACTGGTTGATTCTTTCATTAGTTGACTTGTTCATTCATTCATTTGCATATTCATTCTTTTATTAATTTAGCCAAAATTACTGATTACTATTAACAACTTACGTTCTTGTATGGTAAGCTATAACTTCTGGCCTCATCTCTGATGCCCTAGAGAATGCTTCCAAGGCCTCAGGGAATAGACATTGGTCAAATAAAGTCTGGCCTTGGAAGTAATACATAAATGCTAACTTTGTGTAATAGCTGTCATTATCTGGATCCAACACACATGCCTTCTTAAGGTTCAAGATGGCTGATTGAAAGTCGCACAACTGCAGGTAGGCTTCAGCTCGATGGGTATAGTATACAACATTTTTGGTATCTAAGTTGAGGGCCTTGTCAAAGCATATGATAGCTCTCCTATGTTCTCTCATTGCTGCAAGTTGCCGCCCTCGCTCAAAGCTGATATAAAAATAAAATTCACATTAATTATTTCAAATTAGTATTACAATTTATATTATTATTAGCATAAAGTTGGAAATGAGTTTTCAAATTAGCCTTTATATTACTAATGAATTGACTTGGCATTAAGTTACATACAACATTTAGTTACGTAGTGTTTAGTTTGGAACATAGTGTTTAAGTTTGTCTAGCATTATACTAAGCATTATGTCAGCATAAGTTTAGCATTCAGTTGCAATTCAGCATAAAATTAGTATAATTATGTTGCTATATATCCTTAAGCATGCAACTTTAAAGCAGTGAGCATTAAGTTGCAACTTAGCATTAGAGAGGCAACATAGCGTTAGGTTCTAATAAACTTCAAGTCCCTACCATAAATCAACTTTATAATGCACTTTACAGGAAGACCGCATTTACTAGCCACGGTACACCAACAATCTTTAGGTAGGATCATACAACCACTTACTGTTCATCTGCTTTGTGATGGATGACATCATCAATTCCTATAGGTATGTACTTAGAACCACCAAATAAGTCTGTTGCCAGAGCTTCTGTATTCACTTGACTTTTTGCATGATCTATTTGTTTCATTTTTGCTTCCTTTATCTTTTCATCACTGACAGCAGTCCTGAAGAGTTGAGCTGCTGTCCTGTCTATCGCCTGCAAAGACAAAATAAATATGAAGATTATTAACATTATTATTAATACAATAGAGATCAATTGTTGATAAAGAAAATTCAGGGACATGCTAAACTATTTTAACTGTCATGAGCATCCTCTCATCTCTCTTACCCATTCACTTATAACCTGTCATACATTAAATCCATATAAATACAGTAAAACAGCTTAAACAATAATACTGTATATATATTGATATAAAATATATTTAGTGCATATCAAATTTAGAGAGAATTCCTTAAGCACTCTTTTTGTTGATCATCATTTATTATAGGATAGTATGAGTATTTTTGGTGTTAATCCCACCAAGGATTTCATAACTCACTAAAGTCCACAGACTACCTTCCACTGGGGTCCTTCTGATTGCACATTGGGCAGTACATCGGAAGACAATTTCCTACTCTTTTCCAAAAGTGTACAATGCACATGGGCCATATTGTACACAGGACTGAGGCTGTATTAAACAAAGTGTGCTATCGTAACTTGTATTTCAGTCCTCTGAAACCCAAAGACAGCAAACAAATTTGAATTGAACCAGGGATAAAATATCTAAAATTTTTGATTTTGATTAGAATCATACCTCCTGCTCCTTCTTGACATCACTTAGTTGGACATCATCTGCAAAGGTCACACTCTTTGTACTTTCTCTGCTCATTAGGTGCCGTTCTTTGCCTTCTACTACCGACTTATCTGGCTCACTTCCAAGGACTGATTCATCTTTTAAGTATTGATCGTAATCTGGCGTTGGAAAGTCATTGTCGTTTTGGAAGAGTTCACTGTCATTTGTAGTGGCACGACTTAGTAGCACTACGCTACGACCGCCTTCAGATAACGTATCCAAATTATTAACATTCTCTACCGTTGGAGTTAAACTGTCAATTTTTTTCTCTCCATTCTTTGATGCAGCTTCTTCAAGGTCTACATTTGTGCCGCCTCCTGTATTACTTTTATCAATTTTGTCACTTAATTTAATAGTTTCCTTTACATTATCACTTTCATATATGTCTCCCTCCTTTTTCTTTACATCTGTAATAATGGCAGCTTTTGATGTTTCTTTCTCATCATTCTCTTCATCACTTTTTTCCTCTGCAATGGCCATCATAATTGAAGATACACTCCGTCGTTTGTCTGATCTCCTAGATAAACTTTCCCTTTGATCAATAGCCACATCTTCTGGTTCCTTAATTTCCTGTTTCTTTTCATTGGCTTCTTGGATATTTTCCCTTCCTTCCACTATGCTTTCTTTCACTTCTTCACTAGTCGTCAGTTTAGGCCTATCTTCTGTAGCTTCTGCATTTGATTGTATTTTCTTTTCATTCACTCCTTCAGATACATCATTTTCATCTTCACTGTGAGTAGGTAAAATGTCTTCCATGCCCAGCTAGTATCAGGTAGGCTAGTTTACATCACCTGTGTTGAAATTTAATTAAGCAATAGTTAAGTTTTCTCTGAAAAAAGGCAGTCAAGACAGTGAAAGGTAAAGGCTAGATATTAGGCCTTAGTATTATTTTGCTAATCTGTTTAAATTGAGACACTGCAGAGGCAGAGGCCGCCTATGCGTAGGCGGCCTAGGCTAAGGCTGCAAGGTCGAAGGCCCAGCAGGCCCACAACAGCAGGCCAACTAACTAGGCCTAGGTAGGCCCTCCCCTAGGCCTAGCATAACTATTATTTAATAATCACTCACAAAACTATTATAAAAATACGTGTAGCCGGTGTAGCCTTACTTACAATACATCTAATGAATACTAAAATAGCATTTAGAGCATATGCCTAGGCCTACTTGACAATGTTTTCTACAATGTTTGTCGAACTTGAACTGTAAATATCGATATAATAATTTGTTGATACCATGATACACAGTTGTTATTGGAGATGCGCCCTCAATAGGTGGGTAAAACCTGTGTGTTCTATAATACACTCGGATTGAGTGTTCTTTTACAAAAACTCTTATTTTGGATTAAACTTTTATTTTGGATTACTGTGAGTTCTTAATTATTTATTTATTTGAACTTGAATTGTAAATATCGATATAATAATTTGTTGATACCATGATACACAGTTGTTATTGGAGATGCGCCCTCAATAGGTAAACACTCGGATTGAGTGTTCTTTTACAAAAACTCTTATTTTGGATTAAACTAACATTTTGGATTACCGTGAGTTCTTAATTATTTATTTATTTGAACTTACACAGTTGTTATTGATACACAGTTGTTATTGGAGATGCGCCCTCGATAGGTAAACACTCGGATTGAGTGTTCTTTTACAAAAACTCTTATTTTGGATTAAACTTTTATTTTGGATTACTGTGAGTTCTTAATTATTTATTTATTTGAACTTGAATTGAAAATATCGATATAATAATTTGTTGATACCATGATACACAGTTGTTATTGGAGATGCGCCCTCAATAGGTAAAACCTGTGTTCTATACACTCGGATATTGAGTGTTCTTTTACAAAAACTCTTATTTTGGATTAAACTTTTATTTTGGATTACTGTGAGTTCTTAATTATTTATTTAAAAAATGTTTTATATGGGTGTTCTATCCAGCCAAATCTAATCATTTAGAACTCCCAGTACATACAATGAAATACAATATAAAACCAAAAAAATTAAAGTAAACATAAAACCATGGAGGAATGTTTTTTCCTCCATGACAAAAGACAAAACGATAGCAAAATTATACTAACTCGCTAAAAGGCCGCATTCGCCGGGCTTTCGCGAGGATGTGAGGTATTTGGTCCAGATTATTTGCAGGATGAATGAAATAAGTTTTAATGAAAGAATGAATAAATTAAGTTTAAATGACATGTGGGAACCGGCTTTTGTCTTGTCACCATACCATCGTTGAGCGATTTAAAAGCCAGCTAAAGCACTCTACAGGGCTGGATCTACAAATTATTTCTTCCAGAGCTCTGTCTGGAAATCGGCACAAACATAAGGCCTTACTCAATTTATTCAATTACTTCAATGCTTTAAATCAGTGGCGTAGCTACGTCCAGTTCAAAGTACTGGAGCACTATAAATAGACCTAAAAATAATAATTTAAAATAATTCCCTTAATATATGTGAGAAATAATATTTTTCTTTAATCACAAATTTAAAAAAAATCTTGCTAAAGACAGAAAGTGAATACATAACACAAACAACATATCGCGTTTTGTAATAATTTTACTTCAAAACATGCTTTAAAAATACAATATTTATATCCTCAATTTAAAATGCAAGAGATTGAAAAGAACCTGTCAGTAATGATATGGTTTACAAAAATTATTTAATTTCGTCTTTAAATACAGTAAACGGAAGGAGTAAAATTCCTATCAAACCCGGTTAACCTCTTGCAAATAACATCACAGGCACACATAAAATATGCGTGCTCAATCACAATTTCAATGGATATGGAGTTAAATCAAAATGAATAAGACTTAGATTTCTAATCGTTTCAAAGATTTAATAGGACTTCTGGCACCTATATATCTTACTGAATACTGTATAGTCTTATCTTATTTATTCACTCTTTATACTATCTTATCTACTGTTCTCCCACGGAGCCCAGGACACTTCATTAGAAATTAATGCTGCCCTCTCAGATATGATACTCATTAACCAAAGATCATTTAATTATAAGATCTGTCATTAACATATAAAATTAATTATGATTTAATAGACGATGAGTATCATTTTGCACATACAACAATAAATATACTTGTCAATGTTACATAGTTACCAACCTGAGCCACTGTAGGGGTCCAGGGGTGAAATCCCGCTGACGGTCGGGTTTAAGTCACATAATCAACGGTTGGTTCTGACAATTAACGCTCAAGACGGCATGCGCCTCCTAGATTCTACTAAGTGCATGGTTGGCTGAGTTATTTTGGTCAAAAAATAGAAATATTCTTGGTGAATTGATTCTTGAACGAGATAACGAAAGCTTTCTAATGACTCAAGTTACTGCATGACCATTTATATTTTTAATAAAACCAATTTCATCTAATTTTAAAAACATATTCCCTTGAATTCGTAATAATTCGTTATCACGCATAGACTTGCATGTGTTTCTGCAAAATGCATGTTTCATCCAAAATCACTTCAAAATGCAGGACCATCCCGCACGATGCGAGACGGTTGGTAACTATGATAGGATTTAATGATGCTATATAAACTAATGCCTATGTCATTTGCCTATGTCATTTGTTTAAGGTAACAGGTGCTTGAATGTTCTGTCCTGAACTTTCCAAACCACCTGGTAAACTCATAAAGGTTGAGTACCTGACCTTGGTTAGCACTTAACACTTAGATGAACATTAACATTACAGTCCATGTTCCATTTCATTATTGTAATTAGGTACTGTACTTGTACTAAACCTAGATTAGTTTTACATGACCCTGGTGTTCTAGATATAAGGGAACTGACTGAGAGAATAGATATATAATTATAATCAGTCAGAAAAGAGTGAGAGCAAATAAGAGTCAGAGGATAAAGACAGCCAGAATAGAACTGAAAAATTTCATGAAGTACTGTAAAGAATTGTCAAGATATTTATTATCAGTCTCTACTCCTCCTGCGGAATCAAACCTGGGAAGCGGTGGAGAGAACGCCAAAGGATTTGAACTCTAGTATTTTGGTATTTAAAGATAAGATACAGCTCCACTCTACTTGCACCACTTATGACATGCAGGTTTAATCTGGCACCACAGATAAAAGCAAAGTAGAATCTCATGTTTCCATTGCCTCTTGACCTGACTTTAATTGGTTCCTATTTCTTGATGAAGTATCTTTGACAATCTCCACTGAAAATTAAATGTAAACAATCTATTCATTCAGCTCATTCAATTGACACCTATACATTAATAGCACTAAATCACAGGTACAGTAAAACCCCTCCTTTGGGACACTCATATTCAGGGGATATTTCCAGACGAAATAACGCAATAATCACACCCTGTAAATGAACCGTTCGTACAGTCCCAATAGCATTGCCATGGAGATTATCTATTAATTAAAACGACACACCAGTAAAAGGTTAAAGTGAAAGTTACCCCTTCCATTGTTTTAATAAAGTGCATTATCGCCTTATATGAATACTTAAAAATCGACTGTAAAAAAATGAAAAAGGAACGGCTCTTTTTCAGTAGACGTTTAATTCGGATTTGGTATGTCATTAGATTCATATATCAGTCTACATGTAAATTACACTCACATTCCCCAAAAACATTGCTAATTACGGAGGGAATTTGCAGAGAATGAAATTTAAATTTGTTAGATTTATTTTTAGATTTGACTCTAAAACAAAATCACGAGGCTTTCTTATTCATTATAATAAATTTGTTTAATTAAAAATTTATCGGTTTACACTAAGTTTGTTCCTGTCAACAAGCTGTCACGCCTTTGGGCGATTCGACGTTACCACAGCCAAGCACATGGGATTTTTGCCTAGCCACATGACCCACGAAAAAAATTAACCAATTAGCGGGCAGAATTTAGGAGGAGCGACCTGATGATATTTACAACAAGTCGCATCGTGACCACGAAGAATGTGTTGTGTTTACAGTTTAGAAAAAAATGTCAGACCGAAAATGCACGTAAAAACAATATAAAAGCATTCATTTTATTAGTACAATAATACAATTTACAGGTACTGTACGTATTATATGTTAAATGTTAACTTTTCGTAGGCTACTATAGTCATACCGAATTCACTGGGCTATGCTAAGATTATTTTTAGCGTCTAGGCTAGGCCCTAACTGGCCTGCCTCATTCGGAAAGGATTCAATAGAAATGTTCCACAAACCGATCTTTCTGGAAAACCGAACATCGTATTGTGAGAGTACACTGTACATACAAATAGATTCCTGTATTTATATTTCGCTGCATAATTTCATACAGAGACAACAGAACGATTTTTCTGTATCTGTCAGTGTTACTTCATCGGTGAGGGGCAGCATGATTAGCATGTCAAAATATGGTATTTGGGCCTTCCGAAGTTGGCAAGATAGTGGCTAGTGAAAGGGATTGAAGACAAGTAAAAATATTAATTTACTGGTCCACTTGGCTAGTTAAAAAAAACCTTAAGGGAAACCCCTGATGACCATACTGCCCTCTTTTGATACCAGGGGTCCAAAGGTGCAGGAAAGTACTATAGTAATAACTAACAATGTTTTTTTTTCTGTTTTTTTCTTCTGTTTTTTGGTTTTATTCTGTTATCTGCTTTTTCCCATGTAAACCGCTTTCGTCCTTTGTTCCTTTTTCTCCTGAGCACTCCCTCTCACTGGCGTATTGAGGCTAGTATAATGAGCCTTATAAGTTGAAAATTGGATTGGTTTGGACAATATTGTTTACTCTAAATATTATATTTAATTCTTGAAACAGAAATTATGAAAATCTGAATCAGTTTCCTACCGTTTCCGTCTTCGATGAAAATTTAGAACAACACTTTTATCCTTTTCTTTGTTTTCTGGCTCTTTGACTTGTTGCTTCTTCTTTTGTTTTTGAAGGGTTTTTAACCGCCTTCGTCTCGCATGATTTTTTTGTAAATCCTAAAATAAATATAATTTAAATCCATAACCAATAATATTTTTGTTTAAAATTACAATATTGGATGAAATCTGAATGATTTAACAACATCTAACATTAGACAAACAGTGTAGTGACTACCACTGTTTGAGAGACCGATCAATGGTAAAGACCTGGACCTCAGGGTCAGTGCATCTGCACATTCTATGTCCAGATGTGCAGTGAATGGGCAGGCCAGGAGGCTTTTGGGCAATTGTGTTCACTTGTGAACTCAAACCAGTGCAAGACACACAAAACCCACTTTTATACAGAGGTATGTACCGCAATATTGCAGGAATCTTCTCAGCACTGCCTTCTGTATGAATACATCAGGGCAAACCTGCAGTCGCAATGCATAGGCCTATTTTAATACACTTAGATAGGGTGTTTTTTTCCATCTTGAATTTTTTTCAATCATATAGTGGTGTAGAATAGTCTTTTGAGAACATTTTCAAGAAAAAATTAATGTGATACGACCCTCCGTTATGGAGTTATAAATTTTTAGATAACATGAGGACAAGAAGCCCTCCCCCAAAAAAATATCCTAGAGCCGCCACTGACGGTTGATGGGAAATGTGACGTCATGTGCAAACAATCTATTCCAATGTTATGCACTTGTCAATTGTAGTCTGACCCCCCTCCCAAACCATACACTGTAGCGGGGCACTAGCCAGGACTGAGCCGGGGATGTACACATAGTTGTGTCCCCATAGTGCCGGGACGTACCTAAAATTTACCTCGAAAGGCCTAGGAATTTTAAATGTTAGAGTAGCCGCGGTTTGAGTGTGTACGGCGTAAGTGGCAGGGATGTACGTTAAAACAATGCCCCGCATTGCCGGGACTTTCACATGCAAGTAACCATTTTAGAAATTACATTCCCGACCAAGTCCCCGCTAGGCCCGGGTCTACAATTGACAAGTGCATTACAGCATAGGCAATATTAATTCAATATAAAAAAAAACGAAAACACTTTGCCTAACCTACCGTTTGTGGCCTGTTAATCTTGCTTGAAGGTGGCATGGTTATTTATACTGGAAAAGAATAATAAATGAAGCAATTTTTTTTAATCCTTTCAAACAATATTTTAAATATAGTATTTTTCTGTTTCACTACGTTCTGTTCATCCCATGTGCTGTACTCCCCTTCGCCCTGGCATGTATGGTCCACTTGGTGAAGCACCGAGTTGACTGAAACCCTCTTCCCCTAGGCAAGCCTAAAGTAAGTAGCCTATGCCTAGGCTAGGCCTAGTCTAGAGTTGTTAGCAGGCCTAGGCCTAGGCTGTAGTAGTACTTGTACTACTTGCAATGTATGTAGGCAAAGCTAAAGGTCTAGGACGGAATAGGAAATGCCTAGGTTATGAGGCCAAATATTAATGCTTGACAGCGTGTTAATTAATTCATTATGTCTATAGTAATATGTCTATAAATATTATGCATTTAGACAAGCTATACCAAAACCATACCTGTCGTGGATGTCTTTGCATTATTGCCGCATGCATTGCTGTCAGAGTGCGTGCGTGAGATTGAAATTGCGCCCTCATTATTTTACTAAAAAACATACTACACTAACCAACCAGAGAGCTTCCCGATGATGACATACCGTACTCACGCGAATAAGCGCCCGGGGGAAACATTTATCAAACTACTAAATCAGCTTACATTCGTCTTAAGTCCATTTTTTTGCTTAAGTCAAATTTATCCATATTGCTTAGCTTAAGAATTGCTTAAAATTAGAAAGTCGATTGTACGTTGGCACCATCTAAGACGATTTTTAAATCAAGATTTTGCTAAGATTGGGTAATAAATCTGCTTAAGATATTTATAGGGACATCTTAACATTTTTGACTTAAGACCGTTTGCTAGCTGAAATTGATAGCTTAAAATATTTTTGGCTCTTTTTGAGGGGCGCTTATCAGGGCGCTGATGAAAACAGAGTGGAAATTGAGGGGGCGCTTATGAAATAGGCCTAGATGAAAATTGAAGGGGTGCTTATGGGGAATTGGAAAGGGGAACTTTTTTAAATAGAAGATAAACGAATGGTTTTGGTGAAGAAAATGTAATCATCGAGAGAGCAAGGCTCATAAATAGTCCGGCAGCTTAGCAGATGGATGTGGACGTTCTGGACAAAAGCACCAATTGTTTTTTACATGCTCCTTATGGTCAGAGCATTCAATTTTTGGTAGAAACCACCTCATCCGAGGTCATTATGGCGGCCATCTTGGATTTCAAAATGGCCGCCTAATAAAACCTATGTTTATCTATATCTCCGCTTCAAACCACTTGGAATTATAATTCTAATGTCTAAAACTATTTTTATATGGTCAAGGAATACCATCATACCATTTTTGACCTGGTCAGATTGCCACACATATAAGTCATTATGTCCCACTATTTTAAATTTTGTATTCTCATTTTTTAGTTTCCATACATATTTAGACAATTCAGATTCCTTTTCGTATGATTTATTATTGAATGATTTCTTGTGGTTAATAAACCTTGTCTTAAATTCCCCCCCCCCCCATCTATCTTGATGAGATTGATGCTTTCCGTTTGTGTAGAGGACTGCTATGCAGTACGATTTCACTGAAAACACTGTAGCGACAATGTAGTGATTGTATGAAAGCGAGCTTGTAGTAAAAAAAAACTGTAGCGACAGTGTAGCGACTATATGGAAACCAAGCGTGCCTCTTTTTTGGAACATCATTCATTTATGGTTTTTTACTGTTCAAAATATAAGAATATGCAGTTCAAGTCATTATAATTCCCATAAATGAAGACGATTGTGATGTATTGAATAATGCCTACAGAAATGTTCTTGGTGGTCTATATCTGTGAGAATATTATTATCGTTGATATTTAATATGATAATCGACTGATGCAGATTCATCTATTATCCAGGTTAATAAGAATGATGATAATGAGGCCTAAGTGCAAAAAAGACCATGGGGGTCTAGGAACAAATGATATAGTTGATAAATTAAATTATGATATTAATAACATAGGCAAATGACTTAAAAATAATAACCTCTAAATCATAAGAAATCAGAATTTACGTTACTTGGATCTAGGCAAAAATTTATAGGCGTTAATAACAATATTTTAAATATTCACATAATATATATATATATATATATATATATATATATATATAATTATTCTTAATGTACAATGGGATACCATCAGTGAAGTACTGGAAAGGCTTGAATGGTCCGCAATTTCCAGATGACAAAATTATCATCTTGCCATTTTTATGTACCTGTATAAAACTCTATATCATATATTCACTACCCAGTATATCTTCACAATTTGTTTTTCATACACTGGATGTAATTATAGGCTTTGCCAAAATAATCTTGATGTTAAAATTCTGTTACCTAAAACCGAGTTTAAAGAGAGGAGTATTTCGTATAGAGGAGCTCTTTGTGGAACGCTCTTTCAGATAGTCAACAAACTGCATCTAACCTGTACACATTTAAGAAAGTAATTTAAACAATGTAAATTCTCTTGCCGGGATTAATTTGCTTAAATAATTTTGTATTGATAAATTGTAGTTAGTTATTGCAAATGATTCCTGTGCAATATATTTATACCACACTATGTTTTTCTTAAGCAGTAGAAACTGTATTGTTTTGTTAAGTGTGCTGTTTATTGCTTTAAATTGTATTTCAAGCCATTGGTTGAGTCTGGGCCACGCATGTGTATAAAGTTTATTATTATTATCATAATGATAACAATGAACATAATGATGAAGATAATATTGAAAATGATATTCTAGTAATAATGATAAATAATAATAGTGACAACAATATCTGATAATAATAATACTATATATACTACAGTTGGAAACACGGAGTGTGTGTAAAAAGAGAAACCATCAACATCTTTCAGTCATACATGTTTTATTTCGGAAGAGAAGAGAGTCCATCTAGAGCTGGTTCCCTAACACATTCAAAATATCAAGTGAATTGATGATGCCTGACACAACTTATACTGTACTAGCCATTGACTTAAGAGAGTTTAATGCGAAAAGGCAGAATAGAAATCGGCACATTTTATTTATTTTTTTTTTGCGCCGTGAAAAGCAACTCTCAATGCCAAAACAGACTTGATCCACAGGTTAAAATATAGAGAATTCTGAAGGTTAGGAGGTAGAGGGAGATTGCAACAACTGGAATACCATATACTCAATGTAAATAGTTTAAAACATGCATTGGAGAAGTTTACAATTGAATGCTAAACTGTTAAACCTTCTGGAATTCCATCTCCACTCTACTTTGGCTTGTATACACTTTCTGTGTTGGCTCACTCTGTCAATGATTCCACCTTTCCAAAAAATAAAAAATAAAAAAATAACTTGATACCTTACAAAGGAAAGGGCTTCTGAATGTACAGTATAGTAATAATATTATCAGAAATGAAACATTTTAAGAAAAGATGAACTTCATGAGCCAACATTAAGTAAAATAATTATATTTACAAGTTATGAGGTACAGACAAATAATGCAATATAAAGCCAAATTTCAGTACCTCCCACATATTAAAAGATATGAACTTAAAATTTATTCAGAATCTTAAGCTCAGTTAAACCAATATGCATAATTTGTTAACAAATGTCTCTAATATTTTCCAAAGTAATTCATGATATATGTACTATATAACAACTAAATAAACAAAATATGCAGTCTATATTGAATAACCCCCTTTATGTATATTTTCAACCTCAACAATATTTTTTACTGTACTTTGCGGTGTGCTCTACACCAACTTAATTTCCTTACTCGTACTTAGGGAGAAAATATTTGATACAAACTGGGAATATAGGAGACAAAACTTCTTTTACTTTGTTTAAAACAAACATCATTTACAAATAGAAACACTATGTAGAAACAGAGAACACACAAAAGCTATATACAAGCAAGTACACAGAGTGAATACTTAAGTTAACTGGAGGGGTTAACGCCCATTTGTAACCCTTAACCTTTTTCACAATTGCTGCCAACACCCAGAAATTACTTTAGCAAAGAGCAAACAGAATAGATATTTTATGTGCTTAAGGTGGCTCAAATTATTCACACCCCAGCAAAATTATACCCAAAATGAAGACGACTTGTGCATTGAGTTCTATTATGTCATTTATACATCCCACAACTATCATATGCTTATGTAAGGCCATTAACATACATTACATTTCATATGCACAGTATATACACATACCGTATATTTATACACACACACATAATTTATGCATACAAATACAGTACTTATGTATATATACGTATGTACGTGTATTATTGTGTCGCAAGCACAAAAATATGAGCATACATTTAGACCAATATGTTTATATGTGACCAGCTATGGCAAAACCCTACATTTTTGTACTAACCATTAAAAGTGTTTATTTGATGAGAATTACTGTATTAAGTTTTCAATAAATACCTCTTCTTCCATAAACTGCAAAAACCAGAAATTGACCAAGATGCTGATTTTCTGACATTTTGGTTGCTAGCACAAAATTTTGAAAAGCCAGCAATGCTGGGTTTTGCCAGAACTGGTCAGATATTTATATCCATATAAGTAATTACGTATAAATACATAAACTTATTCTTTGTCTGTGCCTCTAAATATCTTCTGGCATAAATAAACATCATATGGGCCTAATTTTCTCTATATTTTTTTTTTCATTCTAAAGTCACATATATCAGTTCTACTGTTGTCCATTTTAAACAGACACATCTTGAAATATCCAAACATACATTTAATTATTTCTATTCATATAATTACTTCTCTTGTTGATTAAAAAATACATCCAAATGTTTTCATATTTCAGAGTTGACTGGTATAAAACTAGCATACCACTGAATTTCAAATTTACGATTAAATTGCATACATTTAAAAAATTGTTAGTATCATTTAATCCTAATATTTAAAAAAATTTAAAACCCTCAGTCTATACATTAAGAGGTTAGAAGTTAGATAATTTCAGTTCTATACTAAGCAAAGTTCTTCATTTAGACATTTTTTTTTCAGTACAATAATCTGATCCGTCAGATATACTTCCCCCATGCAAACAATCTACTTATATGATTTCCCCCTTAGATAAAAACACATTGTAATAACCAAGGTATTTATCTACTACTCTTCAGCCAAAGGTACCCTGCAAAACTAGTAATAGTAAGCCCACCCATCATCCGCTATGTAATAAATTACATTTCCAACATTCATAGAATTATATAAGCTGAGTAATGGCTGACTTAGCTCAATCAGAGAGAAGCATGTCTTTATCAAGCTGTGTAAAGACTGACTTAGCTCCTGTTATACTCCTACTTTTGGAGGTCAGCTTCACCCAATTTAATAACCTGAACTTAAGCCCATGGTATCAGGTTGTTTATTGATACTAAATCCTTCTTTAACAAACATTCAACATACAATAATTCCAAACTGTTCTACTACCATTTGATTATCAGTACCACAGTCAATTTGAAATGTTTCCAGTTGAAATTGCAATGTTCTGTTAAAAGACATGTGTTTCCATGCCTCATCCTAGGTTTCAAAACCCACACACCAACTTATTATGCTCTGTCCATACTTTTTGATGAATACCAGTGATTTGCCCATATATGGGTGTGATATGACATCACCATGCCCAAATATGGGAAAATCAAACTTGTCAAAAAAATTCTGATATGCACAGAGCAAACAATACAGTATATTTTTTTTTTATTGCAAAACTTTAAAAACAGGCATATTTTTTTGGTTGTCAGTTCTGCCCCCCCCCCCATTTTTCCTCCCTCTGGAAACATTTGATAGCCAACATAGGGGTATATCCTCATTCCCCATGCACATCCCTGGATCTACCAACAATTATATATTTTTCCAATGTTTATAATAAAATAATTATATCAGCAATGTAACAGCATGTTTCTTACTTATACCAAAAATTTGTTTTGTAACATCTTGATCAATTTAAGATCCAATAACTTTAAAGAAAATGTTGCATTACTACAGCGAAAAAACAGTAGGCAACTGACATAAAATTATACATAAATAAACTTTCTATACATATATGGCTGCATAAATGAGCAACTACATTGATTGGGGTTTTTTTTTCCGTTTACAAATGCAAGACATAAGCATACATAATTCATGTGCAATAAATATGTAATGGGATTGTACACCAAGTTGACATCACTTGGGGATCGTATAATCACTCAGAATTTGTCCTCTTTCACAAATTCAAAAAATCCCCCATATGCTGTTGTTGTCTGTTACATGAACATGTTTAATTTAATTTTATTAGAAGCCATATTATTTACACTTATACATGGTGTAGAGGGCACCAGGAACATATTCAGGATTTGTTATCTTAAGTGTAAAAAAAAATCAAAAATCTATATTTTAGTTAGTTATTACAGTACTTGTTCACAAAACACTGCAATTCTGCCAATTCCAGAATAGAGGCTTGGGTCAATGCATATAAGGCCCCCCATCTTGAAAACGATATCACATCTCAAATATGGTGCAAATTTTCATGGGTGGCTGGCCCATGCTTGATTTTCTGGTTTGAAACTACAGTATTGAGTTTTTAAGGAAACAATGTTATCAGGAAGGAATTCTAAAGAATAATTGCCTTTTGACTGTTATTGCTTATTTGTTGTAGTAATACTTTTAAGCATCTTGATGACTATCAAAATTCCTACATGGTTCCCTAGAAAACTATCTAAAAAAATTTACAGGCCATTTCTGATGATCAATTTTTTCAGCCTCAAAAAAAACCTACCCATAACATTATTTTATTCAACCTAGCTATATATACATAATTAAGGAAATACTGTTTACATTCTTTTAAATTTTGTTTTGATAAATAAAAAAAAAAATTATTTTAAAAATAAACTGTGGAAAGGTTTTAAAATTCTGAGAATTTTATAAATATTTAACAAGTGTTAAGATAGATAATTTTAAATATATTTCCCAATTTACACTGACAAATTCTGGTGGGTGATTTTATAAACATATTAATTTATTAGCAATCACAATGTAAGTTGTTGGTAAGTAATTGGTATTAAATTTTCTCTTTAAAATTGTAATTACATTTGCAAATGATTTCATATGAAAAGCTTTTGCTTTGAAAAATGAACACAGATTATAAAAATGTAAATGACAGACGGTCCGGCCTCCATGATACATACAAATTGCACATGAACTAATATATACGACTGGCACGTGATTGGTTGTCATGACAACAATAATTTGTGGTAACAATAAGAATGTATCCTGCCCCAGGACACGAATTCCACTTCATGATTCACCTCAACCAAATGCTTGTTAATATTAAAAGTAAAATATAAAGATACCATTTAAATTAGATTACTAAAGGAACGTCTGCCGACTTTGATGCAATCTCCGTCTTCAAACATATATGCTACTAATACAAATTTGCTAATGAAATTATATAAGAACATGGGAAATGCAGTGTTCACATTCACACAGTGATTTCACAATGCAACACCACAATGACCACATTAGGTTCCCTCATCCTGACAATATTCATTAGATGTGTTATCTTGCGTCTCAATCTTGGCATGATTGAAACCATCAGTGCTTGTGAGAGGCATAGTAGCTGTGTTAAACAGGACAATGCATCAACATTTAGTCTATAGTTTATAATCACTAGTCTAGTTATAAATTTTACACTATGTTCACAAAAAAAAAATTGGCACCTTGGTACCAATTTATGCTAATCATGATGGTTTGTGTTTTACAGATGTATCGAGATGGCATACCAAAATAGGCAGGCAGGTCCGTCCATAGTAACCTTAAACAAATTCTCTGGGTTTCTGGGGTTATACATCTCTATTTGTAAATACGTGGAATCGGATATTACCTAATAACCACTGGCGCAAGTCATCCACAACAGAAAAAAACAACAGTGTTAAATTAATAAATAAATGCTGCAATTAAATTCTACAAGAAACCATATTCTATTTCCATGCTTTTTGCCAAACAGCTTAGTACAGGGTTCCTGCACCACAACATTTCTATTTAGTGAACTTTCTCTTATAACCATGATTCCATGCAAACTTAATGTAGATTATGAATTAATATAACATTTGTGAGTTTACGTAGTTATAAATTAATCTATATTATATATTAATATAATATGTCAGATAACAATTTTCTGACCATGTTTGCATGTTCAAGACAGAGTGGCCAAATTCGATCAGTCGTTTTTTCCCAAAGTTTTTGTTTATGACTGCAGGAACCCTTACACAAGTTCACATCTAAATTAATGCCAATAGGAAAAAAAGCAGTGCTATTTAGTAAGCTATTATATTGCAGCATATTATTATCTCTTAGTAAAGCAATTGAACAAAATATATATCTACAGCACTTCTAAAATAACTAAGAGTTCTGAATGTACCCTTTAACCTATGTATCTACATAATATATATTAACTTGCAGCCTGTGTAGTATCTGTGATCTGGTAACCAACAGCCTGCAGAAATGCCTTCTCCTGGTGCAACACCAATCTTGGTTCTGGAAACTTTTTCTAAAGCAAATGCATCCCCTTTAACTTCTTGACAGGCATTCATATAACTGCAATGGTGATATGCCAACGCTTTTAAGCTGTGACTTTGGATTAGCTAGAACCTGATGGCGCTTGATAAACCAGCCAATGACAGTGTTTTATTGTACAGTGGCCAGAGTAGATATAGAGGCAGTGGTTGTTATAAAGTAAGAGGTATATGAAGGTACGTCATGTATTGATGATATTTTTGTACTATCATTCAATTTACTGTAAAATAGTACAGAATCAGTAGACTGAAGTAGTTTGTGGTAATAAGCAGATAATCATCGTTTTAGTTGCTGAATTAGTTGTAGTTCTCTACAGTAGTGACTGGTGAGTAGAGAACTGGTGTTGGTGGTAGTTAATCATCAAGTGGAAGTGATATTTTTTTAATGCAACAAAATAATAAAATGGATAAATAATTATTGAGTTTGTAGCAAAGTAGTGGTACGCTGCATGTAATTCTAGCAGCAGTTGTTATGGTAGTGGTAGTAGTAGCAAGGAATTTGTGAAATTCATGTAAATCAATACAACTGTATGTGGGTGATTAGCTGCTAAATTAGCTATTATTAGGTGCCTCTAACATTTCCATTAGAAATGTATCAATAGGGGTGTCACCAATCAATTTAAAAAAGAAGAGATGTTCCAAGCATTTAAGTCCGATGGATCGTAGCGCTGGTAATCGTAGAAGCAATTTAGCAAACCTGCCAGACTCCTCCGGATACTGAGTCCGACAGTACTCTTCCAGTGATGCGTAAACCTTCTCCCGTAGCTCTTCCACTTTCTGAACTGAGGAGAGATTCTTCGCATCTGTTGAATAAACAAAGGGAAGACTGTTCATTGGATCTGTAGCAACACGCCTGGCATTATGTATGATTTTCTGTACTGAGGTTAGATTCTTGGCATCTGCCAATACAAACAGAAGAGAACATAGAGTAGTAACAAGAAAGCAAACTAAAAATAACAACATATAACAAAGAGCATGTACAGAACAGAGAGTTCACAAACATAAAACAAAAGAAAATAGAGTTAGTTTTTACTATAATTATAGAAAAACTATACTTGAAACAAGGACTATTATTAAGGAAATTTAAAAACAATGCTGTTGTTCAGCAACTTAGGAAATTAAATATACTTTTGGTAATGCATTGCCTTTACAATTTCTCAATTAAAACTGACAGGCTGTTATTCTTATGCCTATATGCCTCAAAATATGTAGTCAATTAAAAGCAAATACCTCCCACAGAACTACATAATGTGATTGAGGTAACATTTTTTATTATTGTTGTAGGTAATGGATACTGGAATATAAGGAAAGGTGCTAATTATGAGTTACTCCTGCTTAATGTCAAAAGAAAGGGACAAAAGGCAGAATTAATGAAAGAATGAGTCACTATTTAACATTAACCATCTGCCCATCATATATACTTATAGGTAGTACATTTTTAACAAAATTATATTTCATAAAAAATATTAATATAAACTATTTACTACTACTAAATACTTATTATAAAATGAGGCACAATTAATATGCATTAGAAGAAAAATATTACTAACTAGTATAAGCATAGTAGTAATAATTTAAAGGCAGTTTTGTAATTTAATCGCAGTACAAATTGTAATAATAAATTATAGTCTGTTATTTTTAGTATTTCATTTTAGTGCTGGTTGGCAATATCAATGCCTAAAAAACGTTAAGCGCGTAGCAATGCTTTGAGGTGGGGAGGAGGTGGGGAGGGGGGAGATAGTAAAGAGGAGGTTAAGGTTTCAAAGGGTTCTGGAAAGAGATGAGAGTTAGTTTAATAGCAAAGACAGTGCAAAGATCAAAGTATGACAAGTGGGACAATTTATGTGAGGAGGGGAAGAAGCATATTGTAGGTCTACAGAAGCATGGAAAGTCCTAGAAGTAATTCAGAGAGATATAATGGTGCATAACAGTGATAAGAAAACATGTAATAAAATGGGCAAAAACGAGCTGGCTTTATTGAGAGACTGAAGAAAACAAGCAAGATGGAGTTGTTGATGAGGCAGATTGCCTTGGGTTGCAATGTTTAGAGGGAGAACAACATGAGAAGCCCCTCCCACAATACAAGAGCAATAATCATACTGAAAATGTTCAGACCCCTGTCTATACCATTTTCTCAAATTACCTTTTTCTTTGAATTGAATGTCAAGTAGTTGGTCCTATGTGCAGATTAGGACATCGCCTCCCAGTTTACTGACTACGGTAGGAACTGCAGTGTGGCTGGTGGGTGTCCCCGGGGCAAAATCAAAATCTCCTTATCGATATCAATAAGATAGACTTATATTTATAGATCATGGAGATAACATTTTTTGTATGTTTATATGAGGCTTGCAATGCCAATGTGCCAGTGTTGTATACTTTAGTACAGAGAAGCTGTAATACTTTTACTCATAACTTTGGCAATAGTAAGTCAATTCCAGTGAATGACCCATCATTTTAAAGCTGATAATGTGGAGAATATGAATATACTAAAAAGTCAATTGGTTTTTTTTAAATGTTTCTGTCATTGATGCTGGTTTTGGCATGGCAAGCCCCATATGTATAACAGTACATGCCTGCTGTTGCAAGATTGCTGAACAATGCTAATCTAGTGGGGAAACCTACCTGGGTTGAAAAGGACTATCGCCCTGAGACAGCCAAGCTCTGTTTTATCCATTCTCATTTCTCTCATCTTGGCAACAAGTTCTGTGAGGACACGGTCAAATATAGTGCCAACACCGGCTGTATGGGCGCTGTTTCGGTGTACATGTAAACCGGTTGCCAAAAGGATTCCATTTGTAACAGCAATGGAGCGATGTGAGAAAGCAGCAATTAATAACTCATTCCATCCTGCAATGACATCAAATATATTCTTGTGATTACAATCAATAATGAAGATAATATTATAATCAAAATACTGATGATGCAATGACATAGTGATTACAATAAAACATTGATACTTATTATTACATCATCATTAATAATCCACCTCTTAGTTTTCAGTACATATGACCATGTCAAAGGTTAAGGAACATAAGTAGTAATGCAAATTACACTATCATCTGAACTTTATATCGCATTATTACTGTAAATATGATTGATGCTTATAATAGTAAACAAGTTAGCCAAATACCGCAACCACTCTTCCTACCACACCCTATGGTTCCTTTATTGGTTAATAACACTATAGCTATATCAATGTTGTCGTTAATAACGTCAACAGCAACAGTGACAACAGTAACAACAACAAAAGTGACAATGACATCAGCAACAACGACTACAGTAACATCAATCACAACAACTATAACAACAGTTAGGTCATCGTTAATGTTGTTAGTGTGGATACGGTTACTACTACAAAAGACAAAAACAACTGTATCAATACTAACAATAACAACGTTCTAACAGACAACAGGTATATGAGAACATCAACCTACCATAATGGAGAACACCAGAACATATTTTAATTGGCAAACATAATAGTAAATGCAGTAAGTAAAACAGGGAGGAGTTTGAGTTTAACCCCAGTACCAAGTCCTGCCTATATTTCCTGTAAAAATCCCAGAGTTTGTCTAGGGCAAGACACTCAGCTGTTGAAATCAATCTTAGAGTATATGGTACAATGTTGAATCATAGCATTATTCATGAAAATTGTTACCAGAATACTGATCTGACTTTTGATGGACAGATATCACCTGTGGCATTGATTGCACTGACCAACCCACTCACTCCCTTCCCGACATTTTCTAACAAGGATCATTTTCTGCTGTTTTATGTCCGTGACCTTTGATTTATCATCACATTTCTATTACCATATGCAGAGGCCTTAAGCAGTCAGATGATTCAATAGTAATTGTTGTCGTTAAAATTCTTTTTCTATTTATATTGGAATTTTTTTTTTACTGATAACATTTTTTAGATCGTTGATTTAAAAACAAATATATTTAGTTAATAACAATGTTTATTTTTCTATTAAAAAAAAATCATTGTTTTCTGGGCATCTCTAATACATCAATTGGCATGTCTCAGTTGAATATAAATTATTGTTTATGGTCATTTTAGCATCATGTAAACACACACGCCTATTCCTTGAATATTTATTACTTCCACCGTAAAGATTTGTTCATTGCATTTTGTCTAGTTTTCTTTATTCATTCCTTTCAACAATTACATCATGAAGACGCAAGAAGAATCAAGAGAAATCTTATCGTATGTCTGGCTACGAGTTTATTTGCACAATTTTAGCTGCTTAATCATAGTTAATGGCAAGCTAAAGTGTAAATAACAGAAATTGTTGCCAACAGCGAACACAAAGCTTCATTAGACAAAGTAGCATTACAACAGGTTAGAACTGAGTCAGTGTCGACGATAACAAGTACTGTTAAAATATTGATTGTATACATAAAAGATGCACCAAAAATCTTCACTTATTTTCATTATACTTGCGTTTATTTCCATTACATTTTCATATACTTCTTTAAAAATGGTGTAACAATAGCCACTGCCTAATTATTAAAACTAAAGTGTGTATGGTTTAATCACAATGTTAATATTAAAGATTGTTTCTGGATGCAGTGCCTAGAACTTGTATGTCAATATTGGATGTTGTGTCACATTGCCTAATGCCCACTGTAATGCTTTTGCTAGTATAAGAAATATGGACCACATTATCTTTATAAATGTATCTATACTTCACTAGTAAATATTCCTATTAACAATTAATCCCACTCTTCTTTTTATATTTTATTAATGTTCATATAATTGAAATTAAAGTTTAAAAAAAAAATGCACAAAATTGCACTGGTACTGATGCCCTTTTATTGTGCCTATGTTTTCCAGATTATTTATTAGTAGTGGTACCACAATAGATGCACTTTTCCAAGTGAATTTACACAGAAGCGCAACTGCTAAATATTGTTAATACTTGAGTGCATTGTGTGAAGTCAGTCCATTGCTAGAGTAATTTACCACTTTGAAAGTGCCGATAATAAGGATGACGCCGTTTTCAATACATTAAGAAATTATGTTGTAATGAAGCGCTGGTGTAATGTGTGGTATTCTTCTATATCAATCTACATCATGCAGGTATGGCAAAAAAAAACTCCATTCAGTCTGATTATCATTTATGACTAAAGATATAAAGCCATTATTCAAAGGCATCAAATGGTTATTATTTTACTTAGTAAATTTATATTCTTTCAGGATCACATTACACTACTAAAATAAAACACAAAAATTATTAATAAAATACATCAACTAACAAGACAGCAAGCCTTTTTTGTATTTTTTTTAAAATTTTAAGTTGAAAAATCATGGTTAAAATGGACATTTTTGTTCACTTAATTTTAGAATAAAAATATGTTTTTCCTACTAATATCTATGTTATCTTTTATTTATTACTGTATATGTTTTGTTGTTACTGCCAGTGGAACGTAATTATATAATTACGACAATATAATTATCTTGAATTAAACAAAATTAATTTTTCAACAAATTCTCTTACTTGTACAAATAATATGTACCGTGAAGATGATTGTATTATTCCGTATTTTACTAAATGTTCTGTGTGTGAATTACATGTCATGAATAACAACTTCTACCTGTTTAGATGTTTAAAGATGAGCTGACAAACAGGAACAATACATTTATTTCTACATACCACAGGAAATCTCAAAATACATCATACAGAGTAAGGCATGAATAATGGATTGTTTCACTAATCTCTTCAACAGTATGCTATACTAGGGTAGTTCTAGTGGAAGATAGCTGTTTGTGAAAAAATATGCAGCTGGTTGTAAAATAAAAAATGCAAAAAACCACAACAATAACACAATAAGTCGCAAATGATTAGGTTTTAACTTCTCTGAATATAGGACAAAGATTATTTTCTAACACACAGCCAAGTAATCAAAAGAAATTGATTAACAGATACCTCTGCTTAACTATACTATTCAGAAAAACAAGAAAAAAAGGGGAAAAAAGAGCAAAGGAAAGTATGTACATTTTAAAAATCTGTAATGCTGATTATGAATGAACAACAGTTAGAAGTTCGTTTTAGTAAATGGAACCAAAATACTACAGTTCTCTGAGACTATGTTTAATTTGCAGGTATGATACTTAATATTCAGTATTGATATAATTTCATAATCTTTTTTGAAAGAGGATTCTGTTGTATGCATCTCCAATTTTCTGGATATTAAAAAATGCAAAGAATTTCATATGACCTAAAATTATGATCTGTTTAAAAATATTGTAGCTCTGTGCTACAGTTGTAAAGTTCTAGAGTCAGTGTGGAGTAGAATAGATATATAATTTTGGTCCTAAAAGCCAAATTCCATAGCAAAAAGCAATGATATATAATATTTTTTACAAGTGAAGACTTCTGTTCTGGGTGATTTGTACTTTTCAGTCTTCTTCTCGCCTCAATGCCTTGTAGGTCAACATTTATAATTTATCCTAATAATAAACTACATGATAAACTAAATTAGCACACTAAAACATGAAAGCAACAAGAGAAAATGTTCACCTCAATATGTCATCCATACTGTGCCTTTAATTAATACTTATGTTTATAATAAATTTTCAAGAACAACATATTATCCTCTTCTGGATTAAAACCCAAGACCCTTTGATAATAGTTTAAATGCTCTATCAACTAAGGCCAGGCAGTATGACCATGCTACAAGAGACAAGCTAAACAACAAGCTACAGTACTAAGCAAGGGACTGCCAAGGTATTGTACCAATACCTTGTGAAGTAGTATGCTACTTGGATAGACAGACTACTCCACAAAGAGACAGGTTTCCCGAATACATGCTCCTACAGAAAAAAACAAAATCATAATGAACTATAGAGCCAATTGATATTTGGTTAACTTGCTAATTAGTTGAATACATTTGCTAAGCAGCTCCCTACTTAGACAGACAATAGTTTACCTGCTCTAAGGAGTGTCACTTGATCATCTAGAATTAGCTCTGAGAAATGAGGAATCCTCTTGGCCCATTCCACCAATGTGAACAACTGTTTATCTGCAGCCTGACATATGTTGGTCACTGGGTCATTCTGGTGAAAACAAAATAGGTAATCAATATTATGTACAATGATTATCAAACTACTGTAGGTTAAATAAGGGCACAAAGTTCATTACTCACCACATATTAACAACACATGTGTAAGTATTACATACATTAAGACAGGTGTGTACTGTAAATTATACAATAATTACTATACTGCACCTAATCACAATAAGTACATTTTCAAAAGAACAAATTACATCAAATTATATTAATCTATTTCTATGTATTGCCTGCAATATACAAACAACATCTGCAGAATCCTATGATAGAAAGGTAGTTGAAATTAGGATGTAAATGCAGACTGATGTTTCTAGGATAAAGGTCAGGAATGCAATGAAAGGAAATGAACCAGCTTAAGCACAACCCATTTTCCCATACATAAATCAACACCGAAAAAAGACATCATCAGGTAAAGTAATGTTGTTCACAAGATGATGAAACTTGTTATTAGAGTTTTATATAATTAATTACTGTATCCCTACATTATTATAAAAAACATAATTAGATACATCTATCTAAAAGTGTTCCTTATACTATAGTGTTTAAAAAAGGAGATGTAGAAATGTAGAGATGGGCTGATAGAAGAGAGAATGTATAAAAGAAGAATTTGGAGAAAAGGAAATTGGTCAGGAAGAAGGAATGTTGCACTGACACTGATTGGGAGGAAAATGGTAGGGAGAAAAAGTGATGTTCAGGAAAGCAAATGTTAGAAGAGGGATAGACTGAAGAGGAATGGCTAGGAAAAAGGTTTAGTCAGAAAGAAGATTTGAATAAAAGCTGGTAAAGTGGAATGCTCTGAAGAGAGAGGAATGCTAAAGAGTTCGAAGGAGGTAGATTAATTTTTCAAAAGGGAAGATGTGGTCATACTGGAATAGTTTGAAGTGCAGTGCTATATGTCTCCAAAGAATTGCAACTGTTTCTGTACCAAGTAGGTTATGTATCCCCTTACCATGAAAAAATTCAAATTTTAGATTAAAAAGACTGAAAAGCCCATAGATGGAATGTTATTATACTATTTAATATTACTTCTGGCCGTCTTGTTTTGTCAATACTAAGATTTTTATCCAGTATTTGGTCTAGCAATATTGATTCTAGTGCTATTGCAACATAAAATGGGAAAACAATAATTAACAAATTTATCATATCTAAATTACTATCAATATTTGCACATGTGAACATTTCCCTACGGAGGATAACAGAGCATTAGAATCGGTTTCATACAAAAGTAATTTGATATCTTGATCACATTTTTACAACATGAAGTACATGTAATTGTTTTCACAGTAAAGACAATTAGAAAATTCATATGAGAACAAGATGCATCAAGCTGAGGTTTGGTGTGTTTACTAATTAAACTGAAATAAAGCTACCATATTCATTTGCTATCCTCTCTCAAATGCATAGGGCAGATCAGTATAATACCCCTTTTACACTGCCAAGGGCAGAATAAACCTACATGTTAATTCCGGAGTGATCCAGGATCTCAGGTGTTCCCATTTACATCGAACGTAAAAGTCCAGGTTGATCCAGAGTTGCTCCCATTTTACACCGGCAATGAACTCGAATTCAAATACCGCCCTCAATTTTTGTTGTGATGGTGATCGCACTTCGCTTGAGTTCCTCGTCGTGACGAAGCCGCAATTAATATCAATATTGAAGCAATGTATCTTCGGATTGTTTTTAAATTATGAGAATTAAATTAGCAGTTTTGCTATCAAGTTTATATGCAGGGGATTTAATTTGAAAAGTGCCTAGGCCTAGCCCATTGCTTGCAAAGTTTAGGCCTACCTGACCACAGCTGCAGTAGGCACCAGGTAAGGCCTAATTCCGGAATCAAATTCGGTGTTGTTTACACTGGCAACTCTGGAATGCACCCGGGCTGTCCAACACTGAATGCGTCCCACACTGCGAACCCGGGATGTTTGGCAATGCAGGTATTATTTTTTACATTTCAAGGGGTATGACAGTTCTGTTGAAGCACACAGATAAGTAGTACATAGTCTCTGGAAATTAGTATACTGTAGTAGAGATGGTTGTACAAACTAGTGATGTTTATGCATCCTTCTCAAGGATTCAATATCACTTTAACATAGGTTGATATGGTGATTTAAACATCTAAAATACTAGGCTGCCACCAAGAGTGCGAAATGTATACAGCAGTAGAAATTCTACATAACCACAACATGTGGTTAAATACACTTTTCAACATTTCAGAACTATGTTTCTTCTCATCATCAAACTCAGGATTCAGTAAACACATGCGAGAATAAACAAAATGTTAACAACCATCCCATAATTAAAATCACCTGTTTGCAGCTACATGTCTTTATAATACTTAAAAAAGATGGCTGACCATAATTGTACCAGTATTTTCTGGATTATCAAAATGCTTCAAGTATCACATAGCCCCCAGTAAAATCTAGTTTATCAAAATACAGATGACAGTACCTCATATCCCAAGACACTACCTAGATCATAAACAGATGCATGTTAAAATTTATGTGTTATATGTTTCCTACAGGATACCATATTCATCTCTCATTTCAGAAGAGAAAATTTCATTAACAGCAATAAAAATTGACATTAAAAACCAAAAGCATTTTCTGGCTGCTACTCTCTGTTATGTTTGACAAGACAGTGTTTAGTAGACAACTTAACTAGCCAAAAATGTACCTACTACATGCTAGCAAAAAACTTCACAACTTTGGCTCAACTTCACTTAATACTTAACAATACCAAAGGTTGAGATGAAAAAGCCTATTACTAGAAACTTGACCTTTTCAACATTTACTGAGTATAGTAACTTAGGGGCAAACTGCACTCCTTGACATTCCCCAATTGAAAGTAAATCTTCTGGTGGGTCTAAAGATTAGTAATAGCTACTAAACCAAATGATATCTCTACAAGAGTACTAAGGCTATATTCTCACACGGCAGCTAACGGTTAGCAGGATCCAGATCCTGCTAAGAGTTAGATGCCGTGCATCCATATGAGAAAATCCTGATCCGGATATCAAGAATATGATGGTCGAATCACTGGCCAATAAGAAACTGGAAATTGTAAACGCGTATGTGTGATTGGTTGATTATAGAAACGCGCTCACTTGCTAACCGATAGCGCTTGCTAACCGTTAGCGGTATCCGGATACCGCTAACGGTTAGCTCCCGATCCGGATAATAGGTCTCTCGTGAGAACCAGGCTTAAAGAATTGTGCAGACATAAATATCTATTTACTAACAATCTAACCTTTCTAGACAACTTACTCTATATGATGTATTATAGCGCAAAATTCCTTTTAGACTACATTTGCTAAGGGTGGGTTTCTGCTGAATAAACGGTTTAATTCCTTCTGAACGCGTTTCTCGTGAAAAGTGCAACAAAGAAAATCACGGTAATGCGAGCATTGGCAGGTGGACGGAGCTTAAATGACGGTCACCAACGGAAGTTGAAGCTGACCTTACTTGAAGCTGCGAAAGAAGTAAACAACACACCACGAAAGTATGAAAAAAGTATGGTATGATCTTCAAGCATGTCATTCTATTGGTTTAATTTTTTCTTCGCCCAGAATTTCCCGCGGACGAGCGATCAAACCAACGAAGAGGTTCATTTGGGTCACCAACGGGTCATGACTAACACGGTATTGCGTTGCAGCTGAAAAGTGTACCACAAAACACGCATTTTCTGAGGGCGAACCCTATAACGAATGCGTGTAAAAACATGCATTTTTAGAACGCATTCCTAACCATGTTTTTGTTTTGTGGCTTGTTTCTACTGGGGAAAAAACACATGTTCACAAAAACAGGCCCTTAGTGACTGCACCATCTTAGCTTACATTTTCTAGCCATAGCGAGATCTGTCTACATTTTAATTGTTCCATTGATCCTTCTGTTAGCCTCTTCATTGGTGCATAGGTGATAGCACAGTTTAAACTTGTTGTTCCTGTAGGCACTTTATGAGAGAACAGGAAACCAAAGCTGGGAGCCAAGGACCCCTTGGTTGTGGTCCAGGGCCTGAAGACCCTTGAAATATTAGCTTTTTTACATCCTGAGAGACTATGTAATTTATTAGCCTATAATACCTTATTTATTAAAATCAATATTCAAACTTTTTTGCAAATTAATATTGGGACCTACAAGAGGTTTGGCTCACTCACTAAATTGTTGGGTAGGCCTAGGTCCACCCTGTACCACCGCCTGTGCATTGGTGCAACATTTTCTAGAGGAAATGTAAAGGATCTTTTAGCAGCACCTCTATCTCTATGGCATGGATTCTCCTTTCCAACTCAATTATGTACACATTTCAAAGGTTTTAAAGATGGATCAAAGTGGACAAGACCAATGCGCATAAGCTTCACCATCCCAAATGCATTTATGAACTAGCAACCTTCTATAAATAAAATAAATTTATATTTTTATAGATTCAGATACTGTAGTACACAGGGTACAATTATTCGAGGGATGTCACAAATGTTGATGTTCATGCTGCATGCCAAGCAAAATCCGATGTCAGTGCATGGTCTTTTGTTGGTATATACTCAAATGTCAGTTGGAAAGACAAGGATTCACACTGTAGTACAATTACTAGCAGAATTTCTATTGAGTTAAGGTTATGACATGGCCTATTCATCTAGTGACAGACTTCTTTCTTATATCTTCTAATTGTTTGTAGAATTTATCTATAAATGCTAGGTTAAGTTATCTTCACTAACTTTTAGTGTAGGAGCATAGACTGTGATAAAAAATGATTGATCAGAAATGAGAATGAGAGGTAGTTAAGGAAAAAAACAGTGTGTGCAGGCTTAGATATGTTTTTTTTAACCTGAATAAATGTTACTCATAAATGTTGACTTATGAAATTCATTATTAGAAGTGTCAAAGAATTTTTGAATATTTATTGATTATTGTTTCTATGATTGATGGAGATGTTCTATTTTTATCTGAACATGAATTACAACGAGCAGTCGTTCACATTGAATCATCTACAACATTTCTTCAGGGCATAATCATTTATTAAATTAATTTTTCTAAATTCCTATTAGTTTGATTGATTATATTTTGGCTAACAGCAGATGGATTTTATTGTCCAATGATAAAATCAGAAATCCATTTCCTTTGGCAATAACTAAAACAAGGATCTCTTACAGATTCTTCGAGCGACTGTTTAAAATAAATTCATGATTATCATCCATAAAATAATCCAACATAAAATTTAAAAATAAAATGAGTCTATCAAATACATGAATTACCTGGAAATACTGCTTACCTGTGTGTCAACATATGTATCTGTGTTTGGTTCTACAGCTAACTCAGCCTCCAGTATCTTCTCTACTGGCATATCATTGTTCGACCCACTAGTGCTCTCAACCTCCCCATCTCCACTGCACTTGTCTTTGCGTTGCCTCTCTTCTTGAACGGCTGTCAAAACAATGGCTTAAGTGCTTTAAAATAAGATCAACTTTCCATGTAATCTGAATAGCAGTAGCCAGTTACATTAAAACTGTTTTTCTAATTATGTTTTTCTTTCATTTCCAGCAAGTACAAAACTCATTCTAAGGCTTTGGGAATGGAGTTAGACATTCATTTATTACCCTGTTTTCAGGATGGAATTAAGCTATGCTCTACAATATACATTATTATATCATTATGAGGCATATATGGAGGACAGTTGTTCTCCAAACATCTAATAAAATCATGAGAATTTTATATTTTTTATTTCATGAGTAGAACTATAGCATGGTGATTATGGTCAGACTATATGCCTTGCCTCGCACACCCAGCCTCTCAAATCATATGACACAATTTTAAGTATTATAGTGTACAGTACTATATTTGGGATGAAATCAATTCACTTCATGTTATCCAATTAGACAATGAATTGTCCCAAAGCTCTTAAAAACATTGACTAATTAAAGGCTATGTTCTCACACGGCAGCTAACGGTTAGCAGGATCCGGATCCTCCTAACCGTTAGCTGCCGTGCGTCCATGCGAGAAAATCCCGATCCGGATACCAACAATATGATGATCGAATCACTGGAAATTATAAATGCGTACGTGTGATTGATTGATGATAGAAAAGAGCTCAACTTGCTAACCGATAGCGCTTGCTAACCGTTAGCGTATCCGGATACCGCTAATGGTTAACGCTAACCGATCGGGCGTTCTCACGCAGGTGCTAATGGTTAGCGCTAATGGTTAGCTCCCAATCCGGATACTAGGGCTCTCGTGAGAACCAGGCTTGTGTTAAAGTAATTTCTTTTTTACTTGTTCTGTCATCTAATTAATTGCATTGTGAAAGCAAATATAATTTTTAAAATAATTGTAAAATAATACCATACAGTACTCAAAATGAAAATATTATTGCGATAACATCACAACAAATATGAAATTTTTAAAATACATTAAAAAATGTAATATTATTGAAAATATAGATTATTAATTTCACATTTCATTATACACACGATTTGTTCATATAATAATGAACATGAGAATGAGTCATATCATAAGTACAAAGGAATGCGTAATGTCTGTTACTTCTTTCAAATTCAATGACCAAACGCATTACAAGTGCCCACAAGCTTTTCATTCATATCTATGCACAGACATGTATTCACTTCATAAATAATTCAAAATGGTCAAACCTTACTGATCACCAACACATAACCATCACTATCAATCACATTTAATATGCATTGCTTCATACTTGATGAACTCTCATTTCACCCAATGGTCATAGCTAACTGACCATTCATAACTAATCAGCAATGATCAGAACATACTGACCATTAAGGAATAATAAGTAGCATTGCATAGGAGGATACTGCATTAAAATGAAGAAGCTGTAGCTTTGTTGTAAGATGTTTGCTTTCCAATCCCACAGTACTACAAACACTACAGACATTCTCATACTGAAAATACCTTATTTATAGCAGGAACAATAATATCAGATTTGTTTCGTCTTTCAAACTCAGTGATGTTTGATCATACACTGTTTGATAAAGAGGGGTCCAACTTCCTACTCATATGGAAGGACGCATACTGTTATCAGAATACCCACTATTTTCATCACATTCGCAAAAGTACCAAACATACACTTGGCAGGGGAGGGTGTTGACAGTGTAGGCATCTGTTTATCTTATAAAAAAGACGAAATGATCATCTCAAAATGACATAAATCATCATATTCCTTGTACTGAGATGGAGGGAGAGAATTACTGAAAGGTGTGCAATTGTCCTCTTGTGAAAATAATTAAATAATGATGACCCTTTAAAGCATACACGATCAAACAAAGTTTGACCAAACGCTGTTAAGTCTGGTAGACAAAACTTTGCCTTTAGCTTCTAATTGAGTGGCAAGTCACTTGCTGTTTGATAACAATTTAATGTAATATTAATAATCAGATATATTTGGTGGATTTCTTCTGAAAGATCGTCTTTTCGTCAGATTCATCTCCTCTGAGATCAAACATTGATATTAACACTATTCAAGCATGCTGCGCTCTTTGTATTAACACATTATTAGGTTTTGTTTCCAGTTCGATGTCTTTACAAGATGCAACATTTCCCCAGACTAAGAGCAAAGCTTTCATAATAAATACACTGCTCAAATCAACAACATTTAATTAAATTTCATAGAACACCCATTAAGTATGTGCCAAATCAGAATATCTTGGAAAATAATCAGTTTATATGATAAGGAAACCTAAAAAATATCTTTTCAAAAAAAATCCTCATTTATAATTTACAAGAGTACCAACCTAGAATATTATTGGTATCGGTATAAGCTTTCGATATTACATGAACATGATTTTTATATTATATGATCAATAATTTTTTTTTTAAACATCACCAAAATTTCAGGAGAAACTTTGTGCTTTGCATTCGCATGTAAGAATTAAAACAATGCATGACCATTTTAAAATGTAGGTGGACATCTGTTGAAAAGTATGTGGAAAATATTCATGATATATCATTTTTTATTAAATGTTAAAAAATTATCAAATATTATGAAAATAGAAGAAATTGGCTTCAGAATTCAATAAAGAATAAATAGGGCCTAAATAAATAAAATATATTTTATAGGTAGCAAGAGAAGTTTTATACATCAAAAAGGTAAGTTCAGATAAATTTGCAAGTCAACTGATATTTATTCATACTGAATGCTTGTTTCATTCTCTCATTATTCTATTTTTGGAATACCAATAAAAGCCTAGAACATTAAATGGATAGCAGGTCCATGATGATCTTTGAGAAGTACTCAGCCTGTATTAGAATGCAACTATGAATGCATGCTCCCAGTAGGAGTAATGTTGCATTGAGTAATTGCTGTCCGTCAGCCGATTCCAAGGAGGTATACACTTCCATTTATTGCAATTTACAACAATCTAAGTAGAATATTCCAGCCAGATTCTAAGTAATTGGTTTGTATGTTCAGTCAGTAAAAGCATATTCAATCACCAATGCTGAATTTTACAGTGCTTTTACACATAACGAAATGGGATAAAACACATTACTGTTACTTCGATGGGCTGAAAAAATATTGAATCCCAAAAAAAACCAAAAAAACAAAAAAAACTTTTTTTGAACTCGGGTAGCTTCAGCAGTTTATGTAAATTATGTTAAGTATTATTGTAATACTATTTAACTAATAACAATTGTGAAATCTTCGAAATAAAAACAATTCTATAGCCACATGTACTGTTTAAAATGTTCTGTTTGAATATAATGGAATTACTGGTATTGGTAACTACTGTATTATTGTTGAATTATTCAGATTTTATTTTATATAATTTCAATACTTTTTAAATTTTAATCAGTCCATCATAAATCATGCTTTATTTTTATTTCAATTTTATTGTTTTATGATTTATTTTAAAATTTTGAATTTATGTATTGTTTTGTAATCTTTGTGCAATGTAGACCAATCATAATTTAGTTGCAAAACTACCAGAATGATATTTTGAAATAAAACTTAGAACTTAACTGTTCTTTTAAATAATGTATAGGCCTACATCAACATACAAAAGTTCATTATTCCTTCCCTTACTCAGTACATCCTCTGTTACTGCCATCAATCTCTTACCACCTTTGACAAACTTTCTCTTTTCTCACTCCTGACAAACTGATCTCCTTTCTTATAGGTTTATCCACTTTCTACCAAGTCCCACGCATTTGGCACGAGACTCGCACATTTCAGGTGTTTCTCAGGCTCTCATGGTCAAGAACCAAAACCTCACGGATAACTGTAATACTGTACTGCCAAATGAGAAAACTTTCCTGTAGTTACCTATATACTGTTCTTTCATACTGTCTCGATAAAAAAATCCAAACTGTGAATATATCATTGTTTTACCAAGCGAATATCAAAGAACATACGCTGCCATGTGCACAGCTCATGTCATAGTGGACATGTGGATGGCTTGAAATGTAATAGTCAAGTAAAATTGCAAAATTGTAACAAATTTTTAGTTTAAAATTAGTACTCCAAAATTAGCAGCAAATTTTTCAACATGTAGGGAGAAAACACAGGGGATTTGCTTTACAGAGTGGAATTGAATACCTTAGTGGTTGCCTTCTAATCCCAGGGTCCTTGGTACAAGTCCTGTCACAGCAGACTTTATCTCATGAACAAAAACAACTCTAGTCCCTAGGCCTCACTCATAAAGAGGCTTAGTTTATAAAGCATCATTCCATCCTGTAAGTGGCAAAAATATACTTGCTACTGGATGTTGGGGGGGGGGAGGGGGAGGAGAGGGAGAAGTCTCAAGCATGCAAATTTTACTTGGAAGCTTTAGCTTTGTCCACCTATCAATAAAATTGATGCCTCTATCTCTGACAAATGGACCATACTGCAAACATACCTTCTCTTCTCATTCCCATGGCAATACACTTTTGATATCTGCAATACTGGCATCGATTCCTTTGACGTTTATCTACTATGCAGTTTCTTTCATCTCGGCAGGCGTATGATAAATCTTTACGTACTGTTCGTTTGAAGAATCCTTTACATCCTTCACAGCTATACACACCATAATGTTTGCCTGTTGAAAACAAAAATGAAATTTTTGTTAATTACATCAATATATTTGCTATATCCGCAAACTTAAAAGGTAGTTTTACAAATATGATCATCACAAATTTACACAAGTACTGTATCTGTCTCTTATTGAATATTCCTCTCGAAGGCGGTGTGCACACTACTAGATTCATGTAACACACTGGTGATTTTGTCCAAGGGTGTGATATGACATCAGCATGGACAAATCCTGCTTAATAGTGTACACAGAACTTTAGAATGTGTATGAAATGTTGATTTTATAATGTGTTTAAATATTAAAGTCAACACTTTCAAAGCAGTACACCCTATCCTTTTCTTCCAGCATCCTGTTTGTATTTTTATATAAATATTGACCTTAATAACTACTTTATAGCATATGGATAAAGTCCTACTGTACTGCTTTGATGGGTCAACATGCAGGCTGTATGAATTATGTCTAGTCCTTACAGTAAGTTGTTATCATCGCTTCATTAACCAAGTAGCAATACTCAACATGGTTGCTGTCTAATTGCACAATACAAAATATGGCAATGCCATCAGTGGTACACACTGTATTAAAATATTTGAACTAGTGGGAAAATAACAAGACCTTTTTCCCTGTTGATAGGCAGTATGGATGAAAGGGGGAGAGGATAGAAAACAAACAGGATCTTCATTAAGAAATTTTAAGTTCAACTTATAATTGTTCATAAATAAATTATGTGAGGAATACAGTATGATGGGGTCAACATATTTTCTTATCTGAAAAATGAAATGGAAAAGTTATTATTTGAGAAAGGTACTACAGTATTGCCAACTTTATATTTCAATATATTCAAGTAAACCTGATTGTGATGTCTGCAACATAAATCCCAATTATTTTCCCAAAGTGATAGAAATGCAACAGAATGTTATAATCCTATAAGAACCCAGCATAGCAAAATGAATAGGTTTCATGAACTTCATATAATTCTGTATAATCTTAACAGATTAGCTTTCCAAATCTCAAATTGATAAAATCACCTTTACCACCATGTAGACAACACATGCTAATAAAATACTGTAGTACTCTGGCTTCCCATCTCTTCCAAGGTTTTTCCTGTGTTTCACTTATTGCTGTGCCAAGTTCTCAGGTGAAGGTCATTAGAGTACAAACAGCTGCTAGATTCTACCCTCTCAACCAAGTCAGAACATAGAGGAAGACTTTCAGGCTCATAGCATCACATTCTTTATGTCTTTACAGATCATGTCAGTCACATAAAGACCTTGTCTCTTCTAACCTCTACCCTGTAGTGGGTTTTAATTTAAGTCTTTCTTAAAAGAACAGGAAACAGTATTTTTTTTACAATTACTTCCAAAGAACTACTACGGTGCTGTGCCATATTTTAGGGAATTGACATTTAGGTGTGGGAAGCTATGGGATAATAAGCTGGGATGTAGTAATGGTGGGTGGAGCCACCTAGCCTTGAAGTTTCCACCCAGTCTAAAGCTAATTTCATGGCCCTCCACCCACCCTCATAAACCAACTTTTACATCCTTAAAATCCACTCTTATTATTTAGAGTTTACCAATGTTATCACATACCCACCTTTAAAATGTCTATCTATCACCCACCCTTAGTTTTCTACAGCTACAACACTGAATAGGTGCCCATCCCCTCTGAAAGCTAGCAAGAGAATACCCCTTTAAAATATATGAAATCTTAAACTAATAATAATAATAATAATATTAACAATTTTTAAAGCGCAAACATCACCACCAAAAGGCGCAGTGTCAAAACAGGTAGAGAACAAACAGGAATCACAAACAACAAAGTGTGAACATGTTTATTTTTTATTTGTAAATTTTATTATTGAAAATTAAAATAGAAATCAAAATGTAGACCTACCTTTTCATTTTGTTAAAGTAATACCATCCTTTCTATTTCTTGCCAACTCACTTAGCAGTTATACAAACTATCATTTCTTTTTTATCAGTTTTTTTCTGGTATATTTTACATTAAATTTCATTGCATCTTATGTTCCCTTTTCTTATCTTTTCCTTATCTTTCTTATGTTACCAATTACTTATGTTTCCTTATTTTATTTTATATATATTTTTTCTCTATTTCTTTCTCATGTTACCTTATCTTTCTTTTCTTGTTCTTTCTCATGTGACCTTTTCTTTTCTTTCATTTTTCTTTCTTATGTTTCTTTATCTATTCCTTTTAGTTATCTTAAGTTTCCAGTTTTTTCATTTTCTTTGTCTTTCTTATGTTTCCTTATCTTTCTTTCTCTTTTCTTTCTCATGTCAGATTATCTTTCTTTCCTTGTTCTTTCCCATGTGACCTTTTCTTTTCTTTCATTTTTCTTTCTTATGTTTCCTTATCTATTCCTTTTCATTATATTTCTTAAGTTTCCTGTTCTTTTCCTTTTCTTTGTCTTTCTTATGTTTCCTTATCTTTTCTTATCTCTTAGCTTTCTCATGTTACCTTATCTTTCTTTCATTGTTCTTTCTCATGTGAACTTTTCCTTTCTTTCATTTTTCTTTCTTATGTTTCCTTATTCAATTCAATTCATTATCTTTCTTATGTTTCCTTTTCTTTTCCAAGTCTTTTTGTTTCCTTATCTTTTCTTTCTCATGTTACCTTATCTTTCTTTCCTTGTTCTTTCTCATGTGAACTTTTCTTTCCTTTAACTTTGCTTTCTTTTGTTTCCTTATTCAATTCATTTCATTATCTTACCTCACTCATTACCTACTCATGTTTTTTTTTTTTTGTTTTTTTTTTTTTTTTGACATCGAAATTCGAACATACTGAATGCCCACTAGGTTACCTAGCTAGCGAACTAAACACAGTTTTAAAACATGATCGATCTAATAATAAGGTAGGATATAACAAAACAATAAAGTTCTAACATTGTTTATATAGTAAATTGCAACATTGCTCACGTGTTGAAAGCTGGTAAACTATATTTCAATATTGTTTACGCATTGTTTATCAGCCCGACGATCCAGACTACGATCATTGCAAAGCTAATTAAAATAACAATGACCTTCGTAGTGGTTCGTAGCTACGTTCAAAACGTACCTATGAGCAGATTACGAGAGGTTACGCACAGATACGAAGCGATAATTTGTGTCTGTACTGTATACTATTAATCTTGATAAAGCTCCAAAAGTTTCACTAATTGGATAATCTATGATGTATATTATTCCCACAGAGAGAATATACGTGAAGCTAGCCATCTCAAAACCAGCGTACTTTCGCTAAATGTTCAACTGAGAAACTTGCTAAAGAATGTGGTAGTATTCAGCCATCCCAAGGCAAAACAATGTAACTGCACAAAAACATAATAGCAGTTACGTTGTTTTGCCATGGGATGGTCGTATTGTATACTTTGAAGCAAAGCCGTAAAACCTTTACTCCTAACTTTGGCAATAGTAGGTTGATACCAGAAAATGACCTCCTATATCATTTTATAGCTTATAATGTGGAGAATATGAGTATATTAATAAGTTAATTTTCTTGTTTTGGTAACTGATTCTGATTTTGGCATGGCAGTATGATCAATGATCTATATTATTTCTACAGACCTACTGTAATAAATTTATTCATAGTAACAGACCTACAGCAAATCTTGTACAAGGAAACTAGACTAGAGAAAATATGTGGAATAAACAAGACTATCATAGAATAATATGTATCATCAGAATGCCATATCTTGTGTATTGTCCTGACAGTGATAGTATTATTTGAAGGCCAAGTGTGAATACTCTAAATTCCAGGACAAAAGTCGCCAGTTCTATTATTCTTTTCAAGTAGGAATGTCCTTTGGATTAAGTTAGTTTATTCTGGTGCGTATCCGTTTATCGTTAAATAATGTTAGCAATGATGAACGTATACCATAAATCATATCAATCTAGTTAATACAATGTTTGTACATTTGAATGCATAAAAGTGCGGATGAATTTAAATACATACGAATACATGCAAATGCAGGGCCATGCACAGAGATTCTGCACAAACAGGTACAGTACATGAATACTGCAGGGATGTGAACAAACATGTACACCACTTGTTAATGCAGACTTTTATGTGTGAATGCATGTGCAATCACAAGTAGTAGATGCATGTGAATGCAACATGTGAATGCATACTAACATTGCAAAATAAAAATATAAACGACAGCATACATTTAATGTATTCTAGAAAGTATATGCAGATGTACTGTTTTCAGAACAAACATGAGAATATACACAGCTGCATACAACAATAATACATTACAATACGTGTGAATGCAGTCATACTGAATATATCTTAGAAGCATGTGTTTACGTGTGTACAGTAATGTATACATGCATACAAACACAAGTAGGCACATGTGAATGAATGAATGCATGATGATGCACATGTATATATTAACATGTGACATAAAAATAAAAGAAGTCTCTTTACAAACTAATGTAACAAAAATTGAATGTACCATACTAAACACATGTGAATGTATACATGCATACAAAAACACAAATAGGCTCATGTGAACGCCATAGGCATGTGTAGAATTGGGATGTTGCAACCATATTGACTATAATAAAAACCAGATTTGCTTAACATGAAGTTCTATAATATTCTACATGAAGGCCTATGATCATGCTTATTGTGAACAAGTTTTTGATGAATAAAAATGATGATGCTAAAAAACTGAACTGATAGCACTTATTATTAATTACTTAGATGGGAGAAATAATGCAAGTGATCCAGGTAGCAAAAACTACATTATTCATGTATCATTTCACTAGACCAAACACTAAAAAATATGACCACCGATTTCTTCTCTTTTTTTTTTTTAAGCCACAGGCACATGTGTGTATTATTAAAAAGGACATTGCATGAATATTCTAAGCATTTACTGAAATTTATCTGTATTAGGAATCATTATTCTTTGATGAATGAAATTCTAAGTGCACGAGAGGAAACATGTGCATATGTATAAATTTGTAAGTAGATCTAGTTTATTAAGCACA